CTGAACACTAAACAGTACTTGCTCTATGCCCAGCACTTCAGCCTGATTGTTGCCCTGTAGGACTTACTGGTGTGTTTCTAGTAAATATATGCAGGTTACTGGCATAGTTCATATGACCCAAGTATTTCCGAAAAACAAGCTTCTGATGGAGGATAAGAACACCCAAGCATTCCTTTAAGGAAATGAAAAACATTAGGGTTTAGACACACCTGCAAGTAAATACTCTGTGTATTGGCAGGAAATGTTTGCCTTGGACCTAATGTTTAGAATAGCTCTGTTCATCGTTTCCTCCAACGCTGATGTCCACCAGCTGGTAAAGGGGTCAGTGGACTAGGGGATAGCTCTAAGTGGACATTTCTCTGAAGTGAGAAGGGACACATAGGTGAGTTAGCTGTGTGTTGTGCTGGGTGCCTGCTGTGCTGTGATGTGGCCTGCTTCACGGCAGGTACGCAAAGCAAACCAGAGAGGTTTAGAAAAGAGGGACAGAGCTAACCACAAAGGGCACGTGGGACTGTGGAGAGGAGCATTCCTGTTCTGTATCTTGGTTGGCATGTTTCTGTTTTGAATATTTATTTGAGTTTATGCATGTGCCCACTGCGGCCAGAAGAGGATTCAGGTCCCCTGGACCTGAGTTCCAGGCAGTTGTGAGCTCCTGATTCGGATGCACTCTTAACTACTGAACCATTGTTCCAGCCTCCACATCCTTTTATTTTTGAGAGTCTTACATAGTCCATGCTGGCCTTGAGCTCCCTCTTTTCCCTCCCAAATGCTGGGATTAGAGGTGTGAGCTATGATGTTTAGTAGTGTATCAAATATAAAGTGCACTCATGTAAAACTTTACCTCAATAAATCTAACATTTTTTTGAGGCAGTAGATCAGAAAAGGTCTGATTTACATGTATACCACATTCACATAGTTCACAAACTGAACATGAAGGGGTCCAGCGGAGTCTTGTTCCTACCCCCACACCCTAGGTCTTTTACATATCATTATAAAAGCACGCGTCGTTCTATCTCTGTGGTCTCATCGTCTGTGTCTTGTTACCTGTGGTCAACTGCGGTATGAAAGCAATAGGTCGAAAGTTCTAGACGTGAACAGCTCATAAGCAGCGTGATGAAATCTTGTACTGTCCCACCCAGGAACTGAATCCGCCCTCTGTGCTGCTGCCCGCCCACCGTGAGTCAGACAGTGTGTGGGAAGACCGCGGTGCTGTTGAACTGACCCTCGTTTTAGTAGTGCCGTGTGGGGTGCTGCCAGTTCAGACACGCCACAGGAAGGCCGTAACACTCTCTCAGTGCACAGCTAGAAGAGCCGTGAGCTCCTTAGCTTAGACACATTCACAGAACCTTGAGGAGCGTGTATTGGAACTGTTGTTTTATCAGTTCTTTTCTTACGGTGCTTTGTTTGTAAATTTAACCCAGGAGGGTATGTACAGCCTGCCCTGCCCTGTTCTGCCCCTGCCTCTGGTTTGCTGTAAGTTTTCAGCTTCATGGTGGATTTGTGGGACTGTTGAGTTCACTTTGTGCTTGTGCAGGGTTTATTGAGAGTCACTGTTCGTCAAGGAGCACCTGCTTGTACAGAAAAGAGCACCACCACACAGGCTTAATCACTGTCAGAACAGTCCGGCATCCTTTGGGGGTACTTGGAATGCTCCTGGTAATAAAGTCTTGGGGTGGGGGTGTGCAGGGGAGACCCATCATGTAACTGTGTAACTGGGCCAGCCCTAAGTAGACCAGTTCAGCGTTTAGAACTTACCTTGTGAGGGGCTTCTGCCCTGGCGGTTCTCGGAAAGCATTTTGATTGAGTTGACGGTATATGTCACCGTGGCTTGGGACCTACTAGGCGCCCTTTAGTCAGTGGGCATTCTGCTCTTTCTTGATGGCTGTCTAGGGGGCTTCCTGAACATTGGCTGAGCATGGACCTTGCCTCGTTTTCATTTCATCCTGAAAGGAGCGTTGGTCACCCTATGGCAGTGGGGATGCATGTCACAAGAGTAGCCTTCAGGGAGTAGTGGAGTGACCGTCTCCAGAGATCGGCTAGTGCTACCACACCCAGTGGTGTGGCCTGAGGATGAACCCAGGGCTTTGTGCACACAAGTGAACGCTTTGCCAGCTGAGCTCCACCCCTGACCCTGGTCTTCATTATGTGTTTTCCTAACCTGGCAGGTTGCTAGCTCTGTGAAGACAGACTCAGCAGGGCTGCTTCTATCCCACTGTCCTCTGAGGGCGTCCCCACAGGTATTTCTTTATTAGAGTTTGCTTTGGTGTTAATATACTGAGAAAACTTTAAGTCCATCGCCGTAGAAAGAGTCCAGTCCCTCTCCCTGTGCCCTCTTGCTGTGCTGTACTGACACATACACTTCTGTGCTCTGATTCTGTTACTGAGAGATCTGTCCTGCTCTTAGAAAGCAGTCTTGTGTCTCAGCTCCAAGTTTGTCTGATATGTACAAGATTAATGGGAATCAGGTCTTGGCTCTTTAAATGCCACTGTTGAAACAAAACTATTTGCGGATGATTTTGTGCTTAAAGCTTTATCTGAAGTGGACATTTGTATTCTCGTGTTCTTTGGCTGTGTAAGTAGAGTAGGGTTACTAATGGTTTGCTCTGTATAATCAAGAACTTCTGTGGTCCATGCCTGTAATCCTAGAGCTCAGGAGAGTGAGGCAGGAGAATTGTGCATTTGAAGCCATCCTCGACTCCTCTCAAAAAAGAGCAAGAATTATGGGGGAAAGGCCTTGGGAGATGTCTCAGTTCCTTTTCTGTTGCTGTGGCAAAACACCATGACCCAGGCGACTTAAAGCATTTAATTGGGCTTAGGGTTAGAATCCATGATAGCAGACGGCAGGATCAGCTGAGAACTCACATCCTGACACTGGGAATGGCCTCTGAAATCTCAAAGCTCACCCCCAGTGATAGCCATGCCTTCCGGTCTTCGCCACACAGGTCCACCAATTAGGGACCAAGTATTCAAGGAAATAAATACTCCAAATGACCCATGGGGGCCATTCTTCTTCAGACCACCACACGAGAGATGGCAGTTTATTTCAGAGGCAGAGCGTGCTTATTACTTTATTTTTTCTCTCCCCATAAAATATCAATTCTTTTATTGTTAACGTAGAGATGACAATTCTCCCCCTCGCCTTTGTCTGGGTCCAGGACTCTTCTGGGCACTTGTCAGTCCTTTTTGTTTTATTTAGAAAGCCAGACATGGTTGTGAACATTTTAAACCGTAGTACTTGGGAGGCTGAAGCAGCCTGAGCTAAATAGATATTTCATAAATAAAACAAGCCTGCTTCCCAGTCTCTTCAGATGAGATGCAGACATCATGACTATGCTAATGTAGCAGCGGAATGAAGGAGGATTGCGGCTCTTCAGTTGCTCAGTGTTTAGTCCTAGGTTCCCTTGGCCCCACAAGGAAGACGGCTATTGACCTTAGTTCACAGTTGAGGGCGTGGCTGATGTTAGCTGAGTGTCTGCTTGAGGCCACACAGTTGTGAACCACAGAGACAGGGTTGCGATCCTCCTGTGGTCTATAGAGCCCGTTAAATAGGTTTGCTTGCCAGTCCACAGGTCATCGATTTCATCAGATGAAGGTGTTTCTTCACCGGGTGTACTGCCAATAGTTAGGTTTCTCACGAGAACTGATTCTATACAGCCTGACTTACTAAAGGCGGAGCCAAACTGGTTCCATTCTGGAGAATGACAGCCTTTATGATATGGCAGTGTTTGGTTTGGGACCGCTTGATACTTGTCACGGCATCCAAGACTTTCTTTTCAGCTAAACTTTCAGTTTGCTTCAGGGGCCCTGCACAGAGGGGCATCTGACTAGTACAACTGTTAACCTGGCCAAAGTGGGAAGCTGTGTGTGTGTGTGTGTGTGTGTGTGTGTTTGTGTGTTACTTGGGATTGAACTAGGGCCCCATATGCTAAACAAGCATTCTACCACTGAGCTATGCCCCCAGCCTGGAAACTTCTATGAAAAAAAAGTAATTTTTACCGGTAGTTTTAAAGTATTTTTATCATGGCTGGGCGGTAGTGGTGCACACCTTTAATCTCAGCACCCAGGAGGCAGAGGCAGGTGGATCTCTGTGAGTTGGAGGCCAGCCTGGTCTACAGAGTGAGTTCCAGGACAGGCTCCAAAGCAACAGAGAAACCCTGTCTCGAAAAGTTTTTTTAAAAAGTATTTTTGTCATGTATATAGCTCATATGTAAACATTCTCTCATACACATTAAGAGGCAGCCCACGGAAGCACCCTCCAAAGTTCTGTGTTCCAAGTAGCCACATGGATCTCACAGGGGTCTTGTGGTTACTTAATCGTTGACGAGCAAAGGTTTTAAATGTTTAAAATCAGCCAGTGATTTAACATGGCACATTGAAAGAGGCAGTTCCCCATTTAGCAGATCCAGCGATGGTTTTCCTTGGTAGTTACTGAAGTGGCTGCTGTTTCGCACACACTGCCTACTGTTCAAAGCAACAGCTTTCATGAAAGTAGTATTTCTATCACGAATACCTGGGTATTTGGACTAGGTAAAAAGTGTAAGTATTTAGGGGGTGAAGGATTCTGCCCTCCTAGAATAAGCTGCTTCCTGGATGACCCAGCAGTGCACTGTGATTGCTTTTTTTTTTTTTTATGTGTATGAGTGTTTTGCCTGAATACACGTGTGTCCGTGTGCGTGCAGTGCCTAGAGAGGCTAGAAGAGGCCATCAGATCCCCTGAGACTGCAGTTACTGACAGCTATGAGCTGCCCTCTGGGTGCTGGGAATTGAACCCTGGGTCCTTTTAAACACTTAAGTGGTCCTTAACCACTGAGCCATCTTTCCAGCTCTGTAATTATATATTTTCAGAGGACTTTAGTGTTTTGGTACTTTTTACGCTGGTTTAGGCCTGCTGTAGGTCAGTGGCAGAACAATTAACAGCAGTGGTGCAGAATGCCAGCTGAAGTGCATCAGGTGATTCTGCCTCCACGGTCTTAAGGGGCCCTTTCTTCTCTCCTGCACAGCAAATGAAGAAGCACCCTTGCCGCCAGTGTGACAAGTCTTTCAGCTCCTCCCACAGCCTCTGCCGCCACAACCGCATCAAGCACAAAGGCATCAGGAAAGTGTACGCCTGCTCGTAAGTCTCACATCTGCTATGGACACATAGAGAAGGGAAGGCGGCCACAAAGCTCGGGTTTTCCCATTTCCTTTTGATTTTTCCTCTGCTCTGGTGGCTAGGCTGTGAACATAGCACCCGTACCCCTCTTCAGGGCATTTGTTTCCAACGTCCCATGTCGAATGAGCAGCATTTCTCTCCACACGCTTGCACTGTGTTCTGTCACTCAGTGGGAAGTGTTGGTTGTAGAGTGTGGTGGGCTTGCTTGGATGAGACTCCTTTTATACAGTGAGTGGACCGTGTAGATTTAGGAATGATTTACTCAGACTCGGTGAAGGCTAAGAAGGGGGCTCATTTATACCCAGGCCATGAGCCATCTGGCTGCAACCAGTTAGAGACGCTTTGACTGCTGGCTGACATCCACCAAATGTGAGGGACTGAGGGACCAATGTAAACTCATCCACCAATAGTCAGTCCTGAATTGCCTCTTGGTATGAGATGAGCCGGCGGTGGTTATCGTCCGTGGGAAATCTGTGTCACCTACTCAACCCACATGCGCAGAGTGTGTAGCAGGTTAAAACTCTGCCCACAAGAGACCACAGAGGGGCTGGAGAGATGGCTCAGCACCTCAGAGCAGTTGTTCCTGCAGAAGGCTTGCGTTTGATTCCTGGCACCTACCTGGTCGTTTATAACCATTATAACTCCAGTTCCAAGGAATCCAGTACCCTCTTCTGAATTCCTCAGTCACCAAGCACACATGTGGTGTACATACATATATGTAGGCAAAACTCAGACATAAAAAATAAAATGAGCAAATCTAATTAAAAGGGAGAAACAGACCACGGAGCCAGTGTGGAATGCGGTTGATTGTGGTCAGAGTCAGACCCCATGGACCTCGTGGTGAGGACACACATGAGGCTGGCCTTCAGACTAATGGGAACTTTCTGTGCCTGAGGTACTTAGGGAACATTTCCTAAGGAGGAGGTCAGAGTGGGGAGGAATGGATGAGAAGACAACATTCCGTGGAGTCTGTGTTGACAGTGAGAGCTCAGGCACACGGTGTCCTGGGCCGAGAAGATGGAAAAGCCTGGCATGGCCTTCCATGACAGCTGCTACCTTTTCTGTTTGTCTGGCCTTTTTTTTTTTTTTTCTATTTTTTCCCCTTTTACTGAAAGGCAGTAAAATGAAGAGTTGCCTCAGTGAGTCGAAGTGCTTCATAAGCCTGACAACCCCCTTAAGGGTGAAAGGGGGACCACTGACTTCACAGAGTTGTCCCTGGTCCCACACAGGTGCTGTGGCATGCACAGACAACACACACATACACACACATTTTGTTGTTGTTGTTTTATTTTTCAAGACAGGGTTTCTCTATACAGCTTTGGAGCCTGTCTTGAAACTCACTCTATATACTAGGCTGGCCTTGAACTCACAGAGATCTACCCAGCTCTGCCTCCCCGAGTGCTGGGATTAAAGGCATGCGCCACCACCACCTGGCTTTGGGCTGTTTTCTTAGGAAAATAGTAAATTAAAACCTTTCCAGGAGATCATCTGTGTAGTGCACAAAATTTAAGTAATTTACCTACCTCCAGTGGATTTAATCTCCTGAATGAATAAGGATTTCCAGGTACAAACGTAAGTTGCATTTGTGCTTTGAGGAATCTTAGGCTAACATGGGTAAATTAGTTTAGGCTAACAGGGGTTCAGAAGGCGCCTCCTGCAGCCTGGGGAAGCTCTTATGTAAATTCTAAGGGCTGTTCTGAGTCACTATAAGAAAACTTGGAAATTTTAATATTGTCCAGTTTTTTAAGATTGAGGCCATCTAGAATTACAAATTAAATAATTGCTTAAATATCTGCCTGAACCAAAGTAGTGAGGGCCCAGCAGAGGTGGAGAGGTGGCTCAGCAGTTAAGAGTTCTCGCTGCTCTTCCACCACCCCCTGTAGCAACTCTAGCGCCAGGCTGTACCTTGCATGTGACATCCACACAGACACAGAAATGGTTTTTAATCAGCAGCTTTCACACAGCCCGGGGGCAGGGACCTCTTCACAATAGGGAGCGGGAGTCAAAGCAGCGCTGCTTGTTCTATTTGGGGCCCCAGTGCTCGCTTGCCTTCCCGCACCTGCTGTTGGCCAGGTCCTCTGCAGTGCGCACCCCTGGGCAGCCATAGTTCCCCTCTCAATCTTGTGCTCACAGACACTGCCCAGACTCCCGGCGGACGTTCACCAAGCGGCTGATGCTGGAGAAGCACATACAGCTGATGCACGGCATCAAGGACCCCGACGTGAAAGAGCTGAGTGAAGCTTCCAACGAGGAGGAGGAAACTGAAACCGAGATAAAGGAAGACGCCAAGGTCAGACATCTCAGCTGGTCCTCACTGTGGTGGTGCTGACGTGGGCTCCCTGTTCATTCTCTCAGACTACGTCAAGACTAACGTAATCCCTGTGCAGCCCATCCCAGCTCCTGAAACGTAACCTTTCCTAAGTTTTTGTCTGTGTCCTTGCAGAAATAACACACAGGAGCTCTTCATATAATTCATAAGATTATACTTTGACTTAGGGTAGACGTCTCTTCGTCAAAGAAGTATATTAAGCAGATGCTTTTCACTGACTGTGGCTGCTGTTCAAAGTGACTCTGATCTCTTTGGAATGGTAACAGATCAGACCCCACAACCATGCCTTATTCTTCTCTGTGTAGGTAGTGAGCCTCAGTCAGCTGACAGTGTGTATACAGTGTGTATGGCTGACAGGAGCCTGTGCACAAGGCACTGCGTGTTCTGCTAGTTGGAGTTATAGAAAGCACCATGTGGCAGTGACTGCTGGCTTTGGTGCCATGAGAAGTCTAGAACGTACTTGGGCTAAAGTGGTTTCTCAAGACATGCATTAGCGCTTAGTCCTTGAGTCTGCCCCTCATCCAGAGTTAGGCAGGTGTGGCACTGGGCCATCTTCCCCACAGGCAGTTAAGTGTATGCAGAGGTAGCTGCAGGTGTAGGCCTTCAGAGCCATGCCCGAGTACAGAGGAAGTGGAAGCCCTTGGGATTTCGAAAGCTAGGGGAAAGGAAAAGGCAGCTCCAGAGGGGACATGGTGTGACAAGGACCAGGAGGACAATTACCAGGGGCAGGAGCAGGTACTGGGTCCACGGAGTCTTGTAGTAATCCCCTCTAGTCATAATGAAAGCGTGTGCCCAAGTTCTCTCATGAGGTGCTTTACTCTGCCTCCCCCGGCCTAGTCTTCTGAACTTCCTGTCTCCGACCACTGGCCCTTCATGACCATGTCATCACTTGACCCCTGTGTGGAAGGCCTGGGGTGCTGCTCCCCTGTGGCTTCTCATTCACTGCTGTGTACAGTGACTCTGGAAGCACAGAGTGCTTCCTGCTGGGGGTGGGGTAGGGGGAGGTAAGATGCAGGGTGGAGTCACATCAGGGTGGAGTCACATCGTTAAGGCCCCAATCCCCCTGCATCCAGTGTCTGCTTTCCTGGCAGCCTGGGCATTGCTTGCCAGGCACAGAGCCCACCACCTTCATTTGTATCATTTTTCTTTCTTTCTTCCCCCCAACAAAGGCTCCCAGTCCCAAGCGGAAATCGGAAGAACCAGTTTTAGAGTTCAGGCCTCCCAGAGGAGCCATCACTCAGCCTCTGAAAAAGCTGAAAATCAACGTCTTTAAGGTTCACAAGTGTGCCGTGTGTGGCTTCACCACGGAGAACCTTCTGCAGTTCCACGAACACATCCCTCAGCACAAGTCGGACGGCTCCTCCTACCAGTGCCGGGAGTGTGGCCTCTGCTACACCTCCCACGTCTCCCTGTCAAGGCACCTCTTCATCGTTCACAAGCTGAAGGAGCCTCAGCCCGTGTCCAAGCAGAACGGGGCTGGGGAAGACAGCCTGCAAGAGAATAAGCCCAGCCCCGAGGACGAAGCCGCCGAGGGCGCAGCATCAGACAGGAAGTGCAAAGTGTGCGCCAAGACTTTTGAAACGGAAGCTGCCTTAAACACACACATGCGGACACATGGCATGGCCTTCATCAAATCCAAAAGAATGAGTTCAGCTGAGAAATAGCCTCAGATCTTCCGCAAGAGAAGCCCTGTCACATAGGAATTGGAAACAAGACTTTTTTGTTACCAAAAGTTTGCAGTAAAACAGAGTTAACAGTACTGTCTGGGCTGTCGCAATATGTTCTCTGTCCTGTCCCTCACCTCCTCAGATGTATCCCTCCCCATAAGTATTAAGGCAGTATTTGAGTTTTAAAGAGTTTGTATATATTTAAATAACTTTTTATACTCTTTGTTACATGTTTGTATCAGTATTTGGTGGAAAATGTTTTGAGTTTTTTTTTTGGTTTGTTTTGGGTTAGAGTTTTCGTTTTTTGTACCGTTTCTTTAAAGCAGAGTTCTTCGTAACAGGGGCAGTTCCTGAATTCAAACCAACCATTTTGTATGTTACAAATTTGAATGAGTTCAGTAATTACAGGCTAACATGCCTTTTTTAGTGTTTTTAATTTTTAGAACTCACCACATAAATTACAGGTGATTGTGGGTCTCACAACACTGGCCACTCTTAAGTGTCTTAGCACCACACTCAGCGTGCCTGTTCCTAGCCACTGAGGGCTCCGAGGACAACAGCACCCAGGTGAGGGGCGTGGCCTGAACCCTCCTGCACAGCATCCAAAACGACAGGTCCCTGCTTCCTCCAGAGTAAATAAAAGAGGCCAGGAGTCCAGCAGGGAATGCAGGCATCCTTAATCCACCTGGAGGAATGAGGAAGAGGGGATCCAGAGAGGGGAGAAAACAGCTGGCGATTTTTCTGGGTGAACTTGCCAGGCTGACTCACAGCATGCTGAGACAGGCTAGGAAAAGGCCGGCCTTCTGTCCAAGTCGAAAGTCGTAGTTAGGCCTGTAGCTCGCTAGTCAACTTTTGTCTTGTGACTCGCCAACTCCTGCAGAGACTGGTAGTTCCAGGCTGTCAAGTACTTCTCTGGCTCTTGACAGGAACAGAAAGGCATGGTTGACTTAACCCTTTGCTGTCTACACAGTTGGTGTTTCCTGTTCTGGGTGCTACTGCCAAATGTCCTGGTACTTAGAGCTGGGATGCACAACTTTACCGCCGACCTAGCAATGCAGCAGCCTGTCCTCTGCAACTGGCCACAGACGAAGCCCTGAGCCACCAGGCTTATAGAGTTTGCGCACCCTCTCGCGGCCGCCTGACTGGAGCACTGTGGAGGTGCCTTCCCGTCACTTCCCTGGACAGTCCTCTGGGAAAGCTGTCTATTTTGGTTACCGTTTTGTGTTTTCCGTTGCATTTTATATCTTGTATTTATCTCCAGATAGGTTTTGTACTTTTTTGGTTTGTTTTCCTAGGCCAAGAAATTCATTTGTGTATATAGATACTTGCATGCTAGACTGTAGTCAGTGTTCAGTTCCTTGGAAGGTCTTGCTGCTGTTGGGTGTGCTCGCTACATCCATTGTGACTGTATTCAACCCATTTCACATGTAAATAAACAAGGAACATCTGGCCCTTGAGCTTCTTCAAGAGAGTTATTGGTGGGTCTCTGACATCATGAAATTTGGGAAGTGACTCATTCCCGGGACAGGCTACAGAGTATTGCAGAATTCTTTCCACTCTGAAGAATGGCTCACTTGTTCTCGCCAGTGGCCAACTAGCTCTTCTGCCACTTTCTGTTGACTCCATCGGTACAATCCAGGGGTGTGCAAATACTCCTTAACTTGAAGCTTAATTGCCGTTCCTTGTTGCATCTGTGTTGTTCCCAGTTGTGTTCCTTGGCACTTTCTCGTGCTTCTGCGTTTGAACCTTGCAATAGGCCTGCGTGGTGGCCACGCAGGTCCGTAGAGCCTACAGTTGGGGAAGTACAGTTGAGGGAGCTGAGTTCAGATTCAGCTCTTCGTCTGAGTCCTCGCAGCTGGTAAGTGGCTTTGCATATTAGAACCCAAATATTTTGCTCTCAATCTAGTACTTGCTCTTTGTGGTTATGTACATATTGACAAATATTCATTTATGCAACAAATAAAGTTATGTGCAAAGTATGATAGTCAAACTTTTGTTTGGGGCACTATGGTTTTTTAGAAATTTTATGTATACTTACATGCTTGTGTGTCTGTGTGAGTGTGGCACACGTGAGTTGCACACAGGTGCTGCAGAGGGCAGAAAGTTCAGGTCTGTGAAGCTGGAGTTGCAGCTGGCTACAAGCCAGTTACCTGGCCTGTCACCAGGAACCAAAGCAGATTCTCTGCAGGAGCAGCAGGAACTCGGAAGCACTGAGCCCCTCTCTGGCCCTGTGCTACATTATAAGATAACGTGGAATTGATATTTGTTAAATGTTTTGTTTTGAAGGGTTACAAGAATGACTCTTTAAAACTCTCAGAGGTTCAAAACAGAGAAGCGACCCTGGTCACAAACCCATCCATCACTCCGGTGCTGCACCCTGCAGGGAAACCTGGCCAGTCGGTGCCTTTGAGAAGGACAGCTTGGGGCTGTTTCCCAGAGTAGAGCAGTGATTAGGAGCTGGAGTTTGTGATACTCAGGGAAGAAGTCAAGATGGACAAAATGAGAGGGCCCGTGTTGGTTTAGTAGACATGACAGAGTGGGAATAGAGACCTGAAGAAGTCAGGATGGACCATTCTTTACCATCATTTAAATCAGCACATTTGATTTAGCACAGAATGCTGACCCAGAATCCATATGCATCGACCAGCACAAGTTTTAGAGATGCATTTTAAGACAGGGTTTTGTCTCTAGTTGGGCAACTTGGTTTAGCCAGTAATAGCCACAGTGATACCCAAGGAATGTAGCAGCAAAATGATACAAAATGCGAAAAGGAAAGGTGAAGGCTTAGTCCACATGGCCGCGTTCTCAGTAGATCCCTTCCTCCTCCCACAGTGTGAGGACAGCTGTACACTCCTGCCATGGCTTTGGCGGCAGCATTTCACCAGCATCTCTGGGTTGTGTGACACCCCTCCCCCCATCTTAGTGTCTGACCAACACTGAAATTTCTACTTGACAACTTGGGGCAGCTAGTGTGAACGTAAACTAGATTGATAGATTCATGCTGTGCCCACTTCGACCCGAAGAGCGTTTAACCCAGGTCTGAGAACACAGTTTGTCGGATGCGTGGGGTTTCTCATGCCATGATGCATACGGAGCAGGCTGCAGATGGGAGCTCTGAACCTCGGGTCTTCTGCTAAAACCTTGGCTCCTCTTCAAGGATAGTTTGACCTTCCTTAAGGGTCAAACTTTGACCCGCCTCTCCATACCCCCCTCCCGTTAGTGCTCCACACACCCGTTAGTGCTCCACCCCCCCCCATTACCTCACATTATTAACTGAGTCAATTGTATGTATAATGGTGTGGTTACATAACCTGCAGATGCACGAAGCATGAATGGGGATTCAAAGCCACCACAATGGAAAACCACTAAACCACAAAGGAAGACAGCAAGAGGAAGATACTGAAATAGAACTCCCAAGCCAGAAGACAAATGACCCACCATAACCTCAAGTTCTTAACTATTACTGCCGCTTTGTATGCAAACTGATTATATCCTCCAATCAAGCAGCAAGCTGAGGGGCGTTCTTTGGAAGCTCACCTGTATGCTGCCTACAGGAGAATCCCCTTTACAGATACACAGAGACTGGAAGTGATGGGTATTCATCCGGGAGAAATGAGAGGGGCGGGGATGCTTAAGGCAAAATAGACCAAGTCAAAAAATTAAAGAGACCCAAGACATTCTATGATAAATTCAGTTCGTCAACAGATTGTACCAATTATAAATGCAAGCATACCCAGCACTGAGCTACTACATAGATTAATGAAATGGTAATAGATTTGGAGGGAAAGATTCTTTATTACAAAAATAACAGGGAACTTTAACACCTCATAGTCAACAAGGACCATTCCCAGAGCAACCAATTAGGGAAACATTGGGCTTTTGTTACACTTTGGACCAAACAAACCTAAAAAAAGACAGCCATTGTACATTCCATCCAGCACCAGCAGAATACACATCCTTTCAAATCCTCAGGAGACAGTCTCCAGGACAGTTACTATGTTCGCTACAAAACAAGTCTGCACGAGTATGGAAGGACTGAAAACGTCAAGTGTCTTTCCTGACCACAGCGTATAAAGATAGTAATAGAAGTCTTGAGATGCCCGGTTCAAACTGAAGAAGGAAATCAAGACGTTGGCCACATGAAAATGAAAATTAAGCCCGTGGGGCACAGTAAGAGCAGGTGTGAGAGGGAAAGGGAGAGTCATGCACGCATTTCTGCTGTTAATAAGAACGTCTCGCCCCCAAAGAACTATCACCACCCCCAAAATGCTTATTCTGAATATGTGGGTCTTGGTCCACGGGGCTTGGGCATGAGGTTAAGTTGAAACGTGGGTTCTGTCAGCCTTCCCTGAGCCTTCTCTTTTTACGTGTACTCTAACCCTCTCCGCAGTCCTAATGGGTTCTGGTGACTATTTGAGTATGCACTTGAAACATCACACCTGCAAGCCCCAACCTTGGAAGGTCAAGGCAAGGAGAAAGCTGTTCATTTTTAGAGTGATCTGGGCTATGTAATGATTTCAAAGTCAGCCTATGCTGCACAGAGTGAGACCATCTCAAACAAAACCAAGACCCCTCAATATATTAGGTGATGAATTTTTTTATAGCCAGATCCTCCCCCACATCTGCTCACTTATGTTCTCTGTCTTCTTAGGAAGGGCAGATGGGGGTGTCCAACATCGATCTTGTTTTAGTAAATTATAAATTTCCCAGCAGAACACAGTATTCTAGAAAAGGCTTAACTTTAATGTTTTAAAATCTTATTTTAACTTTAAAGTTAATTACATCTATATACATGGGTTTGTGTATGAGGGCAGTGCCAGTGGAAACCAGAAGATGTAAGATCCCCAGAGCTGGACTCCCATGACAAACATTCTTCTCAGTTCCAGAAATTATAGGCTTAGTCCAAGCTGTCCTTTGACTTCATGTCATGCGAGGCCTAATCAGACAGGTTATTTCAGAAAACATCGTGAGTGGCTGTGGACAGGGCAGGCACAGGTCTACTGACTGGAGGGAACGAAGTGAGGTTGGTAAGGGACCACAGAGCCGAGCTGCACTAGGGAGCCTGCTGTGGTATGGATCTTGGCAGGAAACAGACGTGGACTACTACAGAGGCCAGGAGATCCCTCACCAGGTGCTCATTCCCCGGCTTTGACACTGCTGTAGAAGCAGGGGCATTTTCCATGTGTCCATGCTGGTGGCCGTGACTGGTGGCTGCCCTTGCTTAGTTAGAGGGAAAGAGCCTGGTCCCCTTTATGGCTGGAGAGATGGCTCAGTGGTTGAGAGTGCTTGCTTTTGTAGAGGGCTTGAGTCTGGCTCCTAGCACCTTCTGTCGGATGGCTCATAAACACCAGCTCCAGGGGGCCTGACACCCTCTCCTAGTCCCCACAGGCACCTGTACTTGAATGTGCATAGTCACACGCAGACACAAGCACACATGTTTTTAAAGTAAAAATAAACTCTTAAAGGGATCTTGGGCGCCATCTTGGATGCTCAAACTGTGGGACGCTGAAGTGTAAACTCAGTTGCCCTCTGAATAAGACGTCCACCAAGCAACACAACCAGTGCTGGCTATTTTAGAAGAGATTCCTTGGGATAGCTGGACATGAAGCTGGTCCCCATCTCCTTCCCCCACATCCTGTCACTGGAAAGGTCTCATCTCCCAGGGCTTCCTCCCACCACCCCTCTTCTTCATATCCATCCCTCACATTCCCACCCAATCAGCTTGCCACCATGCTCCCTCCTCTGCAAGGCAACACTCCCCCAGGAGTTTTCCATATCTTTCTGTTCAGTTCAGTCTTCTCTGCTACCAGAGCTCTTCCTATTTCCCTGACTAAAATGGGAGCTAGCCAGAAAGCGGTTCTGATGCTCTCCTGAAATCCCCGCCCTTGGGAAGGAGAGACAGGAGGATCATGCATACGGGGGGAATGAATGAATGAATGAATGAATGAAGCATACCGGTCAGCTGCCCACACACCTGCTACACTAACCTCCCTCTTTGTGCTGTGTTATTTTTCTCCACAGCGTCACCCTACCTGATGCTAGTAGTCTATTTGCTAACTGTCACATTCCGGAAGAGCCTGCTCAGCTTTCCCACGGCTCTGCTTGATTCCTAATCCCAAGTCCCATTTCGTCTCATGTCCCCACCCCAGAGCAGTAGAGACCAGCACGTTGACATGTGCTATTGTCAGCAAAGACAGATCCTCGTTTCCCCCAACCTGCTCCCAGAAGTCTCGTGGCCCTTCATTTTGCACAGCCAGCTCTAGAAGGAAATGACCTTGGCATTCCGAACACGGGTCAGCTGATGGCTGCTGCTTCAGGAAATGATGAGGGCCTGTTGGCAGGAAAGGAAGGCAATATTTATTTTCCTGTCCTATTTTTGTGCCCAGTATGGTGTCTTGCATAAATCAGAGACCTAAAATATCCTTGTGAAATGACTGAGTCCCCTTAAACCTCTACTAGTCATAATTTTAACTTTTTAGGAGTTGGGAGAAACATTGGAAGGACCTTAAACCTTTCATTATCCAAAAGTGAGGTGTTGTTTGTTTGTGGAGACTTGTCTCCGGTAACTAGGCTGGCCTTGAACTCCTGATCCACCTACCTTTGTCATCTCCGAGCTGGGATTCCAGGCCTGTGCCACCAGGCCTGATTTATGTGATGCTGAGGATTCAGCCCAGAGCTAGGCAAGCACTCTTCCAACTCAGCGATAGTCTCAGCTTCCATCATTCTGATTTTTGATGAGTGTATGTATATCAGCAACTATTTTATGAATAAATTTATAATTCAGGGACATGCTGTTTACCATTCATAAATATTCAAATTAGCTAAGCTTCATCTTTTTTAAAATATTTATTTATTTATTATGTATACAATATTCTTTATGCGTATATGCCTGAAGGCCAGAAGAGGGCACCAGACCTCATTACAGATGGTTGTGAGCCACCATGTGGTTGCTGGGAATTGAACTCAGGACCTTTGGAAGAGCAGGCAATGCTCTTAACCTCTGAGCCATCTCTCTCCAGCCCAAGCTTCATCTTTTGTTTGTTGTTGTTGCCAGTTCTCTCTTCACCTTTTGCTGTGGGGCACAGTACTTGGCACTGAATCTAGGACATCATTTTTGCATAGAAGGCAACCAGTCTACCATGACCCTAGCCCTCTGCATACTTTAAAATAAAAGAAGACAGCTGGGTGGTGGTGGTGCACGCTTTTAATCCCAGCACTCGGGAGACAGAGGCAGGTGGAACTCTGTGAGTTCAAGGCCAGCCTAGTCTACAGAGAGAGTTCCAAGACAGTTTTACAGAGAAATCTTGTCTCGAAAAGCCAAACAAAACCAACCAACCAAACAAACAAACAATAAAACAAAGTAAAAACTAGGGAGGTGGTTAGGAAGAATAAACCAGAAAACTAACTATAATATGATGTTTATGACTGAAGAGTTTAAATGTCCATGTGTTCTGAACTCTAACTTCATTACAAACACCTATGGGAGGCCAGTGGTTATATGATTTTTACAGATGACAAACTGAGCTAGCTTCTGAGCGAGGAAGGTGGACAGCAATTCAAGGACTGCTTAGGCTATAGAGTGAGTTCAAGACCAGTCAGGGTAACTTGGTAAGCCCATGTCTCAATATAAAAAGTAAAAGGAAGGCCCACTAGTAGAGTGCTTTCCCAACAGGTATGCAACACTGCCAAAAAAGAATTTAAAAAATTGAGCTAGCATCTGAGGGAACTGGAAAGTAAACCTTGTCTTGTAAATTATGAACGTGCAAAGCCAGTGGGTCATGCAAGAAGTGGCTGTTCTCGTGGGAGGGAGCCCAGGAGGGTTTCCTAGAGGAGCCAAGAGTGTCATGGAATAAGTACATACTGGGCTGGGAGGAGTGACCTGCTTGCCACAGAAGCATGGCAACCTGTGTCTGAGCCCTGGAGCCCATATAAGTGGAAAGGAAAGAACAGACTCCACTGAAGATGCCTACTGACCTCCATGTGTGTTCACATGTGAGTACACACATCTTACACACACACACACACACACACACATACAACTTTAATTTTTTTCAGACAGGATCTCACTATGTAGTCAGGCTGGCCTTGAACTCACAGATCCACCTGCCTCTCCCTCCCCAGTGTTGGTATTAAAAACATGAACCATGATGTCCAGACATAAATACTATACTTTTAATTTTTTTAATTTTATGTACATTGGTGTTTTGCCTGCATGTATGCCTGTGAGAGGGTATCCGTCCCCTGGAACTAGAGTTACAGACAACTGTGAACCGTCATGTAGGTGCTGGGAATTAAACCTGGGTTCTCAGGAAAAGCAGTCAGTGCTCCCAACTGCTGAGCCATCTCTCCAGCAATCCCCCCACTTTTTTTTTTTTAAAGAATAAGTAGGAATAGATGAATACATCTTCAGAGGAGGCTGGTGAGAAGGATTCTTTAGATAGGGTGACCCAAGAGTCCAAAGGAATCAAAAGAAGGACAGTGGAGACCATGTGTGCATGTATGTGTATACATGTATGTGTATCCTTCTGAGGCCAGACATACAGCCTGGAATGCTGGTACATGCTCTAAACACGTAGCTGGATGTGGAACCGAGACTCGGCTACCCACAGATGTCTTCAGGCAATGTAACAAGGTGTGCGGATGTGTCGTTCTTCAAGAGGAGACGCAGCAGCTGCTATTTAAAGACAGCCTTCTGGAATGGGGATATTTACCTTGTGATCAACACATTTTGTTTTCTTCTGTTGCAATCAGCAACTGACATCATTTCCTTCCCCGCTGTGTGTTCTAAACCTTCGCGTGTGGTGGTGTGCGCATCTGCCTGGAGCAAGAACTCCTTCCCGTGGGCACTCACGTCATCCCCCAGGCTGGCACTGCTTTCAGGGTCCAGCAAATGCATTAAGAGTCGTGTGACCTTTCCCACTGACCGCAGAGAAGCCCAGCTGTGCTTGACATCCAGCCAATCATTTTACAGGTGGGATTTATCATCCCTCTTGGTCAAAACCCAAATATGGCTACTTCACGTCATCAACATGTTTTGTTTCTAAACCCAGAGAGATATACCAGGCCATCCATCCAGAGAGAAGACTTATTATCCGAGACTTATTCCTGCGAGCTGGGCATGTTAATCTGCATAACTAAAGGAAGCCAGGTGGCCAGCGGGCGCCACTTCCACGGCACAGTCTCCCTCACAATAACAAATTGTATATAAACAGGTTTCCATGGTTTATCTGTCCGCTTTGCAGGTGGCTGCGGAGATGCGGTTTGTCTCTTGGCTTGTTAAGGAGCGAGGGGCATCACATTCGCCCCCCCAGCACATTACAGACGAGGGCTTCATAAATATTAGGCTCTTTGTCTAAGAAGGAAGATCAGTCCTGACAGATTGAGAAATGACGGCCCTCGCTTTGCTAGCTAGCCTGCAGTTTATGCTACCTTTTGTTTCTCCTGCGAGAAACATTTCTCTCAAGTGCATGCAAGACACTGACGAATTCCTTTCCGATCTGAATTCACTGAAGCCCAAGGAATACGCTCTGAGAAGTAAGTAGGTTTCCCTGTCCCTCTCCGCAGCCAAGCACAGGACAGTCTGCTGAATATGCTGGAAGCATGCTAGACTAACCCGTGAGAACTTAAAAGGCACCAAGCAGGAGAGAGAAGACAAACCTGAGAGACGGAGGAGCTGCCACTGCAGAAGGCTGTAGAGCCAGGCTCGAGATGCTCTCTTAACGGAGAGAATTGTTCCTAAATATTATGTGCTTTGCTAATGAAATCAATAGCATTTTACTTTGCACGGCATATCTGGGTTTATTTCCTTTCTGAGACATTCGATCTGCTCCTGATAGTGAGTTGCTCTTTTATTTAGTGAAACCAGCTCATCTGTTCTGTGCTGATAGAAGTAGATAGAAGGTGAGCAGTGAGACTGCTTTTCATGTTCTTTGTCTGGCCTTCAAATCGTTGCCGTTTGGTTTCTGTGTGTTTCTCAAAATTATATGCATACCTTTCTGCCAGAACAGAGGATGAAATCAAGGGTATCTTGTCTAGGAATGAGACTCATTGTTGTTGCTGGTGGCAATCACGAACAAGAAAACTGTAAAAACTCCTTTTAAAGCCAGACAGTCTGACATATCCATTTCCATGTAGAATACACAGCCACTTTGTTCTGTGTTTAAAACCACTGGTATCGTAATAGAGAATAAAATAGAACATTAGGCTAATTCAAAATGCCATAACATTTGAACAAATTTCTGTTCTACCTGGGGTCAGAGAGCCCGAGATTCGATGAAAGGGTGGCAAAGTATAAACCCAGTTAATTCAATAGCTGTTTTGTTTAAATCCCGTTTTGGAATCGATGGTGTTTCATAACAATAGGCGGTGATAGTGATGGGGGATGTTGCAGCCAAGCCAGGTGACTGGCCAAGGGACTGCAGAAGGTGTGACAGCAGGCCCAGATGTCTGTTACTGAGATGGCAGGATGTAGTCACCAACAGTCAGAGCCACGTGGGCACCGTGGGCCTTGCAAGTGTCTCCACCCATGCGCCACCCAGGTTCTGTCTGCAGGCACCTGGAAGTTTAAAATGTTCATCTTTCTCCTTATTAAAACAGGAGTTTCTCAGCCTAGGGAGGCAACTCAGTTATAAGGTACTTTACTTCTGATGCAAAGTTCGACCTATCCCCAGCACCCACACAGGAAAAGCTGGATGTGGTGGTTCATGTTTGTAATTCCTGTGCTGGAGAGGCAGATGGAGGTTCGCTGGGTTGCCAGTCTACCCAGTGAGTCCTAGGCCAGTGAGAGACCTGTTCCCCAGATCAAGGTGGATGACTCTTGAGGGACAACACTAAGGTTGACCTTTGGTCTCCATCTTTATGTGCACACATTCTCCTGCATACACATGAACCTACCCCCATCCCCACGCACACAAATGTGAACGGGTAGATGACTGCCAGTTCCCTGCAATGGAGGAGTGTGTCTGTCTGCAGCGGCTGTGACTTGGCTCAGGTGCTTTGACATTTGTCTGGGATTTTTGAGCTCAGAATGTGCTATTGACTTGGTTTTCGTCACGGTTTTCCTGGTGGATGCGTGGAAGGAAGAATAAAAAGAGAGAAGAGGAAGTAGTAGGTGCCCTTTAGAACCTTGTAGAGGGCTCTTCAAGTCCCCTTTATGGGAGGGGAGACTTACTGCTCTCTAGTTGGTGAAGGAGGAAATAGAGTCCAAAACACACAGATAGTAATAGGCATGGGTTGTGTGGAGCTGAATAACATGTCAGGGCCCAAGGGGATGGTCTGGCAAGAAGGCCCTTGACATTTACGTGGCGAGGCGTGGCTATTCTAGGAAATAAGAGGAGGTGACTTAGAGAGACTCTGAGCGGGAAGGATGGAGTGAAGGGCACACTCTTTTCCTTTTTAGCAGCCTCACACACGCTAGGCAAGGGCTCACCACTGGGCTACATGCCCAGCCTGCTCTTATCTGTGTTTGTGAAGCTGTCGGCTTGGCCTGTGTTGGTGTAGTGGCAATCCCTGCGGCGTTGCCGCTCCTGTCCTTCTACCTCCACAGTGGGGTACGTCACCCTAGAGGCAGTCAGCGCGTTAGAAAGGAACCGAGCGGCTGCCGCAAGTCAGGACGTGTTTATTTTTCAATACTGAACAAACTGGAAAAAAAAATGTGACTGCTCTCTAGTGATCGGCCTGTCACTGGATTCGGCACACAAGTTGATCAGGCTGCACACAAATACATGCAGTTTTGCCATGCATTTTGTTTCAACGTCGTAGTGCTTGTTAAGGCAAATGAAACAACCACCGATATTCATGCCGGGTTACACCCGTCGGTGAGCAGAAAACCAAACGGCATGGCTACAAGAGGTGACAAGAAATGCATTGAAAGCAGTCTGAGAGACAGGTGTCTACATTTGGATTTTATACTAAGGAGTTATGGATTTCATTTTTTATTTGTAACCCGTGGTGATGCAGATTGAATTGTGTTTCTCCAAGTTCATATATTGAAGCCCTTCCCAGAACATCACAATGTCACTGCGTGTGGAGATGGGGGTCTTTAAAGAGACAAGCTAAAAATGAAGCAAACAGAGCCCTAGTCCAGTGCCAGGTTAGGACACGGGCCTGCTCGGAAGAAAGATGACGTGAAGATATGAAGTGTATATCTGGGCCCATCTGAACCAGGGCGATCAGCCTCAGGAGAAACCAGCTCTGCCCACATTGCCATCCCTGATGTACCCATTTGCAGAACTAGGAGGAAAGGGGCGCCTGCTGGTGAAGGTGCCGTGTGGCTCCTGCTGGCAAAGGTGTTATGTGGCATTTGTCATGGCAGCCCTTGCAAGCTCATCATGTGCCACATGTCCTTTGTATCAGCATAAATTATAATATGCCTTCTCGAAAGATGCAGGCTGGAATTGTGTCTTCACAAAAATATGTCTATGGTCCAGGGAGATAGCTTGGTTGGTAAAATTTTCCTTGAAGGACCTAGTGTAGTAGTCCCTGCTTATAACCCCAGCGCTGGAGGCCAAGAGAGGGATTTTTTTCGGGGGCTTCCTGCCCAGCTGGTCCTGTCTGTCTGTTGCATTCCAGGTTAGTGAGAGCCCTTGTCTCATACATGGCGGACAGTGCCTGAGGAGTGACAGCCGAGCTTGTCCTCTGGCCTTTTACCACATCCAATGCGTTCCCACACACGTGTACCTGCACATACATGAGCATGCAGGCACACAGAGAAATGCCCTTGCTCACTCCTTGACCTTTAGTTTTTGTGACCTTATTTGGAGATGGCATCTTGGTTGTAAACAGTCCAATGGTGAGGACCAAGCAGGTCCTGATGGAATGATCATTGTCCTTAAAAGGGGGAATCTGGACACCGTAATGGCAGAGGTGCCAGCCACCGGCAGCTAACAGATGCCTGGGACAGACTCCCCAGAGCCTCTGGTGTGAGCTGCCCCTGTCCCTGCTTCAGACTTCCAGTCTCCGGATTCAGAGAATGGATTTCTGAGCTTGAAGCTCCCCTGGGTGTGGAGACTGTCAAGACAGCTATAGAACAAGAAGACAGATGCTGAGACAGACTGCTCTGACCTCCCAAACACACTCTGCAGAATTAAATCATGTGTTTATCGCCTGCAGTGGAAAAACAGAAGCCCATAGATCTCTGGCGAGGGGCCCAGGCCTATGATACAGTGGTACCGTTGGCAGCCGTTTCTCAAAGTCCATGCCTGCCCATGTCTGATGCTGTCCACAGCGGAGGCCCTGGGTGGGAGCTGTACCACATGTACACCCCAGGACCTCTGACTTTGCTTCCATTTCAGCTCTCCAGACACAGTGGTGGGGAAAGAGGGGTAGCCAGGAGTTCCCAAGCAACCCGCAGTGCTTTTCACGCCTGACTTCTGAGCATCTTATCCCCATAGCATTCCCAACACAGCACTTTTTCTCTAAAGAAACTTCTTAGCCCCGCACATCCCTGGTCCCCGCTTCAAGTCTCTTAGCCCACACTGAAACAGGATACCCAGCTTCCCATTTGGACTGCATCGTCTCTTTGGCTTCATTGTTTATGTCCTTGTGGCCACTGTTTTACCTTGTCTGTATGCCTCAACTCTTTCCTAGACACCAAGCCCCACAGTGGACCCTTGTCAGAAGAGGCAGTTCATAGTAGACACTCCACAGGGCGACACCAGCCTGAGCTAGGATGTGGGTATCCTTTGGGAGGAAGCCTATTGCAGTCTACCACAGCGTGGATGGTTTTGTTGTTGTGTTGTTTGCATGCATGTGTGTGTGTGTGTGTGTGTGTGTGTGCGCGCATACGCGCGTGTAAGGTGTGATGCTGGGGATTGAAGCTAGGGCTTTCCATCTGCTAGGCAAAAATCCTACCATTGGTGGTATGGCCCAGTCAGTCTATTTGTCTGTCCAGTGTGTGGCTAGTGCCCACTCAGCTGTCTGCTGGGAAAGCTTTTTCTTTTGTTGCTCAGGACCAAACACTACAGAAACCAGGAAAATTGCCTGCGAGAAAGAGGATGATATCGTAGATCCCATAGAAAGTTTTAGATTCTGTGTCTGTCAAACATCCACGCAGGACTGAAGGTGTGGCTTGGTGGCAGAATGCTTATTCAGCTCACTTATTCAGAAAGGCTTTGGGTTCCATTTCCGGCCCCCCAAACGACCAAAAATTCGGCACGAAATAATAACACAACATCATACTGCGGTAGGATAGCGTGCTTCCTCTTAAGAGATATCCGCAACCTAGGTGAGCATGGAAATGCTCACCGCAATCCCCACACTTGGGGACAGAGGCATGGGTCTGTAATCGCACGTAGTTAGGGGACGGAGGCAGGAGGATGAGTTCCTAAGGCCATTTAGAGAAACCTTGTTAAAAAGAGCTCCATAGTCGAGTGCCTCGTCACTTGTACCAAGCCTGGGGCTTGATCCCAGAGCAGCAAGAACACAGGAAACTGCCTTGTCATCTTCACCTGTCGTCGCCACCGCAGAAGGGGACATCTGCCGTTTAGCACAGCTGATTGAAACATGTTGCTTTTAATCATTTGGGCACGAAAAATCAGAACAAGCGCGGTGATGTGCAGTATTGTGCCCTTAGTCCTGACCCGTTCCTCCCTCCCGCCCTGTGATACAGCATTGTGATCTGCACCGTGCCTATGTCCTGGTGTCGTTTAGGTTCTTGATGGAAATTCATTAGGGTGATGGCCAGAAAAGGGGAGTGTGTCCATGTGAACCCATAGTAAGAAAGGAACGCAATGCAATTTGGAAACCAAAGCAGCTTAACTGGAAAACCGCCAAGGCGATCAGGAGAGGAAGCAAGAACGGAAGCATCAGTGAAGAACTGGGGACTCCCTGACACATGCCCTGCAGACTCCACCCCAAGGGCTTACAGCTCAAGAGTGTCCCCCATGCTGTTTCCTTCCTTGGCACTCTTACACTTCCAGACCCTACACTTATGAGTACAGAGCTTGGGGGATCCTGTGATGGGGAAACATATTTTGAAAACCACCTTAGTCTATTTGTAACAAATACATGTAGTGTTTTGGGTTGCAGGGAGAATCTGAAAATATTTTGTTGAAGCTGAATTTGGGCATTTTTACTAACCTTGTCAAAGTTTAACCCTATTCAGCCAACACCCACAAAGTTCTTCCTCTAAGATGCACACTGACTAACACAGGGCACAATCTTACCCTCCTGGGAGACAGATGGGACACGGTGACGCACCTTCTGGTGTGACGCACTGAACAAGAGTCTGGATTGTTTCCTGGGAGAGATCGTCCTCTAGCTCAGATTTGAAGGATGACTCAGTTATTGCCAGCGGACTGGGAGGAGGGACAGCGCAAGCTGGAAGGCCAAGAATTAGCCTGATGTATCTTTAGAATGGAGCAGAGGGAATGTTCTGGCTGTGACCGGGAGGGTGAGGCTAGAGGGCAACTCGGGACATGCAGGGCCCCTTGAAGCCCTGCTCAGGAGTCCCACAGAAATCCTAGTGGCCAGAGAAGTCACACTAGGTGCACACTAGCATCACCCGGGAAATATCCTTGTCCAAGCATCACCCTTGACTTCATGCCCCATTTCCCCCGCACAAATATATAAATAAAGGGTAACTGAAAAATCATCTGGAGCTGGTACAAGGAAAAAGGGCAGGCGTGGGATTGTGTTGTAGTGGGAAGAATGCTTCTAGCCTGCAAGAAGGCCTTATTGAAACTTTGTTTTGTTTAAAGAGAAGGGAGGGAGGAAGGGAGGGAGGGAGGGAGGAAGGAAGGCAGACAGGCAGGCAAGCTGCATTTAAGAAACTTGTGTCAGCATTATGAGAAGCCCCTGGGTTCTGCAGGCTGTGCCTGAAGTCCTGTGGTGCGTGCGTGTGTGTATGTGTGTATGTGCACCTGTATGTGCATATGTGCATGCGTATCTCTGTGTGTGCATGTGTTCGCTTGTCCACCCAGAAGTACAGTCATCCTCCATCTTCAAAATGAAGTCAAAAGCTGCTTGCAAAATGGAGTCTCTCAGGGCAAGGCACTGCCTGGAAAAACGCCATTTCCCACAGTGTGGAGTAATTTAGAGTGGGGCGTAGCTTGATCTCAAGGAACAGAGAAGTCACGGTGAAAAGCAAAGAAAGGAGATGTATAAAGTGTGGCTGCACTGGGAAGAGGAACAAAGTGGTCCAATGGCCGGCTTTCCCTCTGCCCCACAGCCCATCTTCAGGGTCCTGATACGAAGTTTAGGTTTAAATAGAAGGTGAAAGGTGTGCCCAGCTCAGAGTCTTGGTCTAATGTTCCTGTTTGCCATCATTGTCTCTGCTGCAGCCTCTCCAGCAAGGTGTCTGAGTTACCAGCTGTGTGAAATCTCATTCCAGGACACCAGCTCCCTCTGGCTGCTGCCCAGCTCCAGCCCCTTCCTCCTCCTAGCATGAGAACCCTGGGAAAAGGCTAGCTTCTTGGAGTCCTTGGTCTCAACAGTCTGGTGGCTGAAAGGAAGGGCACAAGGGTCTCTTAATATTTTAGAGGTGGGATCACTTGTCAGAAGTTTTTTTTTTAAATTTAAAATTTAAAAGATTATTTTATATGTATGGGTGTTTTGCCTGCACGTATCTGAACCACATGCACGCAGGGCAAGAGGAGGCCAGAAGAGGACTTCAATGCCCTGGAGCTAGAGTTGCAGGCAAGCTGCCCTGCGTGCGCAGGGAATTGAAGCTGGATGCTGTGGAACCCAGTGCTCTCAACGGTGGAGCCACCTCTCCGACTCCACGGACATGTACTTGATGTTTCAGCCCTTTGAGGACTCTTTCAATCTTTTTGTTTGTTTATTTTTAAAGACAGAGTTTCTCTGTGTAGTCCTTGATGTCCTGAAACTCCCTCTGTAGATGAGACTGGCCTCGAACTCACAGAGATCCGCCTGCCTCTGCCTTTCGAGTGCTGGGATTAAAGGCAGGTGCTACCACCTCTGGACTCAGTTATGATCTTCTGATCAGTTTGTCTTCACGGTCCTTAAAATCCTGAGGGAAGGGTCCACCTGGGGCCTGGCCACACGTATCCCTCATTGTACTCCACAAAGGGAAGAGCTGTCCACGGACCACAGCACGGAAACCCCTGGGGAGTAAACACAGAGAAGAATGCAAGTGAACTAAGTGAGTCTGTGTGCTCCATGAACTGGGACCAACGGGCTGCCAAGGAATTAAAATAAGCAGACAAACATGCCCAAAGTGATGAAAGAATATTGGCAATACAAAACCATGTGTTAAAGGTAGATGTTAAAGACAGTAAAAATACTGCCGTGGATACATAATACATAGAGTAAATATTAAGATGGATAGCGGTGAAGAAAATTTGGTGAGCTAGCTCAATTTGATAGCCCTCTCAAAACAGAACAGAAAAAGATGAATAGATCTTTCTTCTGGAAAGTTTTTTAAAAAAATGAAAGAAAAACAAAGAGACAGGAATTCAAATGGCTACACTGGGCTGATAACAGGGACCAGAAATAGAAATATAACAAAGAAAAGGAAAGAATATTTGAACAAGTAAGAGCCATGCTTTCTCCAGAGCAAAAGGGGAAGAGGCTCACACAACACTGAACACAACAGGGAAAAGAAAGCTGTCTCAGTGTGTCCAGATAGAGCTGACATTAAGAACATTAAGAGCGATAAGGAGGGGCTGGAGAGATGGTTCAGTGGTTAAGAACACTTGCTGGTCTTTCAGAGAAGCAGAATTTCTCACAACTGCCTGTAACTCCAGCTGCAGGGGCTCTGAAACCCTGGTCTGGCTTCCGCTGACAACCATACATGTAGTTACAGGTACAAGTAAGTCCGGTGCTGAGCTTTTCTCATGGGCTCTGGGGATTCGAACTCAAGACCTCACAATTCATTTCTTAGTGGCACAGGGAGATTAATTATGTAAACTTCTGCTTTGGGACTCAGTGTATGACTCGGTGGGAAAGCTTGGAAGCAACGTTCTCAATGGCAACGTGGACAGGCTGGGATCCTACAGCGAGTGTCTTTCCACCCGGAGCCCCGAGGGGAGTTTCCGAGGCCAGTACTGCAAGCTTCACGTACTGCAGGTGAGTGGAGGAGCCCCGTGTGTTTGTTCTGGGAGGGCAAGTGCGTAAGACACAGATCAGAATACGACTCCACCACCTGCTTTTCCTAACTGAAAACACAGGAAGAAACTAAGAGGTCTCACAAGAAGCAGCAACCTTCTGCTTCTTTGAGACAAGATCTCACTATGTAGAAAAGGGTGACCTGGAACTTGGAACCTAGCCCTGCTTTGAAATGTCGATCCTCTAGGCCTGTGGTTCTCAGTCTTCCTAATGCTGCGACCCTTTAATACAGTTCCTCCTGTTGTGCTGACCTCTCCCAACCAACCATACAATTATCTCCATTGCCTCTTCATAGCTGCCATTTTGCTACTGTTATGAATTGTAACGTATCTACTATGCGACCCCTGGGAACGGGGTCACGACCCTACAGTTGAGAAACGCTGCTCTAGGCTCCCTCCCAGAGGCTGGGGTTTTAAGTACACACGTTAAATTGTTGGTTTAATGTGCCCAGCCTCTTTGGAATGAGTGACATCTGCTTGTCAGAGACAGGCAGATCCTGTGACGTCATATCTAGTCAATCTAACCGATATTGAGCTTCAGGTTCAACCCTACCTCAAAAAATAAGTTGAGCGTGATCATGGAAAGACAATCAATGCCGATATCTGACCTCCATATACACACTTGAACACACACACACACACACACACACACGAGCATGTGTGTATACTGTAAGCAGTAACATTAAAGGGCATTGTGTCATTGTGTTTCCCAGGATGGCGCAGACTACAGTGTGGGTGTGTGTGTCCCTGATTCTTGTGGTGAAGAGGATGTGACCATTCTGTCTCAGCTGGGTAAGTACAAAAAACCCACCACCATCACCACCACCACCAAAAACCAAATTAAAATACAGTCAAACTACTGTCACAGTATGAGGTTTGAACGTTCTAACTGCTTAGAGTCAACAAAAGTGGTGATTTCAGGACCTTCAGAACCACACACAGAGTCTTCATCTTGGTCAGTCAGCTTAACTAAGAATAATGGAGGGGAGAAAAGGTGGGGACAGAGGTGGTGGCGTGGAAAGGAAGGGGAAGACAGCAGGCAGCAGATAATTGCTGGGTCTTGATGTGATAGCAGGAAAGTCAAATAGTCTCCCCACAGCTGCCTCAGCAGGCCTGGAGACAGGAGTGGGCGGTGTCCGGTTTCCATACTGTGAATTCTCCGCTCTGCCCATGTGCCTGCCCACTGTCGGGTCAGGAGGGCCAGCTGGAACTTGGATTGTGTGAGGTCAATAGATTGCCGTGGATTAGCACCCAGAGCCCAGCATTTGGTCCTGGTTGTCACTTCCAGCTGTGTGATCCCGAGCAAATCATTTAAGCTCTCAACCCTCCCCCTCCCCCAGCTTCAACCTCCTGTCTCTGCAGCCCGGGGCCTGACAGGCCCTGAAGTTCAGGGGCTCCCAGTGCCTTACTGCCTCACAGCCACGTCTGACCTTTGGCCATGCAGAGGAATATATTTTAGCACATGGGAACGGGTTTGATCTCTTATAAGTATTTAAAAATTTCTAAGTGAGAGCTTTAAAGCCTAAAATTTGTTTTTATCACTAGGGCTTCATATTAGTTTTGGCCATCTAAAAAAGAACTAACGGCTCATGACAGAGTTCTCTTTCAAAGTGTCGATGGTACGGCTATTCTTAGTAACTTCAACTTGTTCTCTAAGTTTATAATGACACTCACAGCTTTGGGTACATTATCTGTCTAGCCTAGTGTTACATGGGCTGTTTCCAAGCAAACCAACAAAACCAACCAACCAACCAACCAACCAACCAACATGTTATGCATCTGCCGTCCCAGCACTCTAGAAGGGAGGAGGTTCATGGGTCTGAACAAGGCTACAGAGCAAGTTTGAGGATAACCTGAGTTACACAGCAAGGCATTTTTATATCTATCTATCTATCTATCTATCTATCTATCTATCTATCTATCTATCTATCTATCTATCTATCTATCTATCTATCAGAGCTGGTGACCTATCTCAGAGGCCCAGTCCTTGCTCAGCATCTATGAAACCCTGGGTTCTAGCCCCAGTACTACACATGAAATAAAACATGTTATAAATCAAAGTCAAATTTTGGTTCTTAATAGGTAAGTGATAAACATCATAAAACAAAGGCAGGTGTGTAGCTACTATGAAATTAACATTTCAGAGGTGTAATCAAGGCCCCAAGTTTAACGAGTTGTCTTGCTTTAGAAGACTCATCAGTTACTCTGATTTTTCTTGCTAACGCTAAGCTGGCTAGCCAGAGCTGACCAAAGGAAATGAAACATTGACAATCATTGCTGATGATAAAAAGATATTTTGAGACACTCATTCTTGGAGAGACATGAGGAAGATGCTTTCTGAGAAACCAGAAAAACCAGTCAGTCTAGGCTAGGGTGAGCAGAGCTGACATGGGGCATGGGGTGTTGGGGAAGTTAGGGTTGGCCCTCAGAGCCTCTCCCCTGCTTTGGCACAGAAGCAGGGCAGGAGATCAGGGTGTCTTTGCCCACGGGATCAGTTCCCCATCTGGAAAGGATGTGTCAGCTGTTTCTTAAAGCCTTTTGATGGAGTTGCTAGGATCTCCCCTCCAGATGTGGGGCAAGCAGCTCAGGAATGCCAGGTGGCTGCTGTTGGCACAGGACCTGCTCCTCGAGCAGGAGACCAGCAGCTGCCACAGCAGCCAGACCAAGGCGGGAGGATAAAAGCATTATTTAGAGAAAGAGACAGAGAGAGTGAGGGAGAGACAGAGAGTGAGGGAGAGACAGAGAGAGACAAACAGAAACAGGGAGAGACAGACAGACAGACAGACACACACACAGAGAGAAAGAGAGAGAGAGGGAGAGAGAGACCTTGGATAGATAGGAGGGACGGCCTGCAGGCAGAGCCTGCAGGACCTGCTGCACAGTGGTTTCCATGGTTTCCATGGGATGTTAGAGCATTTCAACAAACAGACGTTGCCTGATGTGATAGTTAACCTTCACCGTCAGCTTCACTGCACTTAGAATCACCTAGGAGACGCACAGTGCCTGTGAGGGTGTGTCTAGAGGCTAGTCCAAAGTGTGGCTCGGGGTTTAGACTGAAAGGGAGGAAGTAAGATGATGGCTGCTTTCTTTTTATCTGGGTCCACGGAGATATGAGCAAGCAGCTTCCTGTTCCTTCTGTCACAGCTGTGGGCCACTGATGCACTAGGACATCCCCCCCCCCCCCATGAGGGACTGTATCAAGCCATGAACCAAACTCAATCCTTCCTGCCTTCTGTTACTGTACAGTCCGTACTACTACGTGAACTACGGTACTACGCCTGCAGCGGTAGCCTGCACTATGGGACTGGACAGTTCGCAAACCAGGCAAGAGGCTGGAGATTGAATGGATAGAGTCATAGGTCATCCTTGAATTCCCCCAAGAATGCCAACTTTATTGTGCTCCAGGGCAGCTTAGATAGTGCCTTCCCTGACCAATGGCCACGCCCTAGCTCTCAGGATCCTTCAGCTGTAAGCCATCAGAAACCACTCCCCTGCCATCAGGGTCTCGTGCTCAGAGCAGCTGCAAGCACAGGAAAACAAGCTGTTCACAGGAAATTCAGGGTCCGGGGATCCACAGTCCTCAACACATTACTTCTTGTTAGGTGTTTGGTCACAGTAATGAAAAGAGTAATGAGTGTATGTGGCTTCCTGAGAATAAAATTACGTCATCCCAGGATAACAGGATATACAGATTCTAGACCAAATTACACACACACACAGACACACATATTCCAGTGCAAATCTCTTATTCTGGTCATTTCTCAAGGCTCCAGTCAACAGACTGTCATACTTCAGATGACTTAAGATAAGAAAAAATGTATTTTCTCACAGTTCTGGACAGTAGACATTGAAGTCAGATACTGATGAGATTGGTTGCTATTGGAGCCACCTAGCAGAGATGAGCATATACCCTTCCCTTACTGGGGCTGCCAGCGATTTGCTTATAGATATACCTGCCTCCTTTGCTTGTAGACAAACCTTGTCTCTTGGCCTACAGACACACATGTCTCCTTGGGTTGTAAATGCACAGCGTCTCCTTGGCTTGTAGCTACACCATGCTCTGTTTAACACTGGGCCAGCAAACTTTATATGCCACCAACAATAGGGGGCTACCTAGCTCCACTCTCAGGGGCACACTCTAAGTCTGTCCTTCAGAAACTTTCTAACATTTTACGATGCTCACACCATCTGCTCGGCGGCAGTCCAAAGCATCGAGATCTGAGCTGCCTGGTGTGAAGGTTCACCAGTCTTTCCCATCAGTAAATTGTACTCTTTGATGATTGCCTGATTGCGAATGGCCTCACCTGTTAAAAGAACCAAGCTGAGCAGTGGCTTTGGGAAAGTGGTTTCTCCTCATCTATCTCGTGACTCCCCAGCACTGACTGAGAAGCTGGAATTATCTGGCAGCAGCTCCTTGAGTTAGCACAGATTCCTCTCTGGCTGGGATTCAAGAGGATTTTTTTTTCTTTTCTTTTCTTTTCTTTTCTTTTCTTTTCTTTTCTTTTCTTCCTTCCTTCCTTCCTTCCTTCCTTCCTTCCTTCCTTCCTTCCTTCCTTCCTTCCTTCCTTTCTTTCTTTCTTTCTTTCTTTCTTTCTTTTTTGTCCAGTAACCTTTTATTAAAACTTTTCCTCTTGTTGCTTCTTAACTACCCAAGGATGCCACTGCACCGCTGCTGACGACCCCTATGATGTCACGAGGGTGGCAGCCATCCACACTGCAGCCCCCAGGAACTTTTTTTCCTAAGTTTTATTTATTTATGTTTTATGTATCAGTGCTCTGCACGTACACCTGCAGGCCAGAAGAGGGCACCAGATCTTATTACAGATGGTTGTGAGCCATCATGTGGTTGCTGGGAATTGAACTCAGGTCCTCTGGAAGAGCAGCCAGTGCTCTTAACTGCTGAGCCATCTCTCCAGCCCACTCCAGGATCTTCTTAATAGTTCCTGAAAATTCTTTGGAGGCATTTGTAGGGAACTCTTGACAACCTCACCAAGAGTGTTACTTCCAATGTGCTTACTGTTTTCCGGACCTTTCTGTCTCCATGCTTTCTGTGGGCTTTGACGGTGGGACAGAGGCAGAGGGTACAACCTTATCTGGACCTGTGTGTTCTGAGTGGTCAGTTTCACCACCACACTCAGACCTTTCCAGTCACTGGTTGCTACAGCGACGTCATCAGCAACTTTTTTTCCCTGTTGGGATTTGAACCTGGGTCCCCCTGGGAGAACACTATGCTCTCTCACTGCTGTCTCTCCAGCCTCCAGAAACTGTAATCTTAACTAGTGTGTTCAATTGGATGAACTCATCTGAGGCAAATTCTCCTGTGTGTAAGGTAAGGTGAACACTTCTTACAGGTTGGTGAAAGTTACAAATAGTAATGGAACCACACCTCATGTCTGCTAGTCATGTAAAGAACTGTAGTGTTTGTGGTCATTAGTAATTGGTATCACCATCACGCAAAACAACCCGTCCTCAATGTTTGCCCAGGCTTGGAAAGTGTCCAGGTCCTGATTCTGAATGTGGTCCTGGGGAATTGCAGGAGTGGAGATCCCAGATCACTCCCAGATTCCCAGCTCTGAACCCTTCAGGGAGGGGCCAATAGATCTTCCTTCACCTCTGGGTCACTTCAGCTTGCTAACATTTGAGACAGAACACTAATCTCTCTGGTAAGATCTTTACATATCGATTCTTCCAGGGATTCCTCAGCCCCTTCCTAAGCTGGTACTTTGGGCTCCAGTGTTGGATAGTGCCCATCCCAGGGTGCCTGACTTCCTTCTTTTATTGCATCTTCTCGTCTCTCTTGCAGAGACTTGCTCACAGATAGATTTGCGTCAGTACCAGCACCTTTTTAGACTTAGCATTCCCAGGGCCGTGTGCCAGAAGGGACATGAGAAATCAACGGACTGAGAGCTCGCTGATCCATTTCTGCCTGCGTCAAATGCCTAGTTTGGTGGTGTACTGGCTGGTTTTGTGTGTCATCTTGACACAAGCTAGAGTCATCAGAGAGGAGGAAGCCTTAGGGGAGGAAATACCTCCCAGCCATCCAGCTGTAAGTCATCTTCTCAACTAGTGATCTTTGATTTAGTTCAGTGATGAACAGCAATGTAGACATGTAAGCTGAGTAAACCCCTTCCTCCCCAATTTGCCTTTTTGGTCCTGGTGTTTCATCTCAGCAATGTTAACCCTAACTAAGACATGTGGCTTTCAGCATCTTTCCATGTTTTAGGCATTTTTTTTTTTATTTTTAAGATGTGTGTGTGTGAGTGTGCAAGCGCGCATGCACGCACACAGCTGCCTGTGGAGGCCAAATGAGGATGTCAGATTCCCTGAAGCTCGACTTATAGGAAGTTGTGAGCTGTCTCCTGTGAATGCTAGGAACTGAACTCTGGTCCTCTGGAAGAATAGTATTCACTTTTAATCCTTGAGTTTCTACTCCCTTTTGATGTCATTGTTTCTTATTTCCACTCTCACTATTAATAAAGCAGATAAATTTGGTCTTTGGTATTCATGGTAGATCGGTTCCAAGACCCCCCCAGGAGCCTGAAATCCACAGATGCTCAAGCCTTTATATAAAATTCCATAGTGTTTGCATATAACTTATGCAATCCTCCTGTGCACTATTCATCATCTCTACACATCACCCAGTGTAAGGGCTATGTGCATAGTTATCCTATATCCATACAATATAAAGGCTATGTGCAGTTATTCTACAGCCATGCTAATATAAAGGCTATGCGCATAGTTACTCTGTAGTCACACTTTATCATTTAAAGGATAACGATGAAAAGCCTGTACATGTTCAGTACAGATACAATTTAAAAATACTGCCAGCCTTGGAAAGCCGATGCATGTTAAAATGACACCTTTGTGTTTCTTTTTCTTCATTTTTATTGAATTATATATTTTTCTCCCCTCCCTTCCCTATCTCTCACCTCCCCTTTTATCCTCTCCCAAGGTTCCAATGCTTCCAATTTACTTGGGACATCTTGGTTTTTTCTACTTCCCATGTAGATTAGATCCATGTATGTCTCTCTTAGGATCCTTTTTGTTGTCTAGGTTCTCTGGGATTGTGATTTGTAGGCTTCTTTTTTTTGCTTTATGTTTAAAAACCATTCATGAGTGAGTACATATAGTAATTGTCTTTCTGGGTCTGGGTTACCTCACTCAATATGATGTTTTCTAGATCCATCCATTTGCCTGCAAATTTCAAGATGTCATTATTTTTTTCTGCTGTGTAGCACTCTGATGTATAAATGTACCACAAGTTCCTTATCTGTTCTTTGGTCTAGGGACATTTAGGTTCTGGCTATGGCAAACAATGCTGCTATGAACATAGTTGAGCACATGTCCTTGTGCACATGATTGAGCATCCTTTGGATATATAACCCAAAGTGGTATTGCTTGGTCTTGAGGAAGGTTGTTTCCTAATTTTCTGAGACATTGCCACACTGACATCCAAAGGAGTTGTACCAGCTTGCACTCCCCCCAGCAATGCAGAAGTGTTCCCTTTACCCCACATCCCCCCCCAGCATAAATTGTCATCAGTGTTTTTGATCTTGGCCATTCTTACAGGTGTAAGATGGAATTTCAGAGTTGTTTTGATTTGTATTTCTCTGATGGCTAAGGATGTTGAGCATTTCCTTAAGTGTCTTGCGGACATCTTAGACTCATTTGTTGAGGGTTCTCTGTTTAAGTCTGTACCTCATTTTTTTAAATTAGATTATTTGATGACCAATTTTGTGAGTTCTTTGTGTATTTTAGAGATAAGCCCTCTGTCTGATGTGGGGTTGGTGAAGATCTTTTCCCATTCTGTAGGCTGCCATTTTGTCTTGTTGACCATGTCCTTGGCTTTACAGAAGCTTTTCAATTTCAGCAGATCTCATTTATTAATTGTTTCTCTCAGTGTCTGTGCTACTGGGGTTATATTTAGGAAGTGGTCTCCTGTACCAATGTGTTCAAGTGTACTTCCCACTTTTTCTTCTCTGAGGTTCAGAATGGTTGGTTATATGTTAAGGTCTTTGATCCATTTGGACTTGAGTTTTGTGCATGGTGATAGATATGGATCTATTTTCATTCTTCTACATGTTGATATCCAGTTATACCAGCACCATTTGTTGAATATGCTTTCTTTTTTCCATTTTATATTTTTTGCTTCTTTGTCAAAAATCAGGTGTTTATAGGTGTGTGGATTAATATCCAGGTCTTCGATTTGGTTCCTGTCTGTTTTTATGCCAACATCAGGCTGTTTTTAGTACTGTACTCTGTAGTAGAGTTTCAAGTCAGGGATTGTGATGCCTCCAGAAGTTCCTTTATTGTACAGGATTGTTTTGGCTATCCCGGGTTTTTTGCTTTTCCATATGAAGTTGGGTATCGTTTTTTGGAAGTCTGTGAAGAATTTTGTTGGGATTTTGATGGGCATCACATTGAATCTGTAGATTGCTTTTGGTAAGATTGCCATTTTTACTATGTTAATTCTGCCTACCCAAGAGCATGGGAGATCTTACCATTTTCTGGTATCTTCTTCAATTTCTTTCTTCAAAGATTTAAATTTCTTATCATACAGGTCTTCCACTTGTTTGGTTAAAGTTACTCCAATAAATTTTATGTTATTTGTGGCTATTGTGAAAGCTGATGTTTCTCTGATTTCTTTCTCAGCCTGTTTATTATCTGTGTAAAGGAGGACTACTGATTTTTTTGAGTTAATCTTGTGTCCTGCTACTTTACTGAAGGTGTTTATGAGTTGTAGAAGTTCCTTGTTAGAATTTTTTGGGGTCGCTTATGTAAACTGTCATATCATCAGCAAATAATGAGAGTTTGACTTCTTTTTCAATGTTTATCCCCTTGATCTCCTTTTGTTGTCTTATTGCTTTAGCTAGAACCTCGAGAACTATATTGAATAGATATGGGGAGAGTGGACAACCTTGTCTTGTTCCTGATTTCAGTGGGAACGCTGTGAATTTCTCTCCATTTAGTGTGATGTTGGCTATCGGCTTGCTATATATTGCCTTTATTATGTTTAGGTTTGTTCCTTGTATCCCTGCTTTCTCCAAGACCTTTATCATGAAGGCATGTTGTATTTTGTTGAAGGCTTTTTCAGCATCTAATGAGATGATCATGTGGGTTTTTTTTCCAGTTTGTTTATATGATGGATTACATTGACAGATTTTTGTATGTTGAACCATCCCTGCATCTCTGGGATGAAGCTGACTTGATCATGGTGGATAATTTTTTTGATGTGTTCTTGGATTCGGTTTGCCAGTATTTTATTGAGTATTTTTTTCATCAATGTTCATGAGTGAGATTGATCTGTAATTCTCTTTCTTAGTAAAGTCTTTGTGTAGTTTGGTTATCAAGGTAATTGTAGATTCAAAAAAAAAAGTTTGGCAATGTTCTTTCTGTTTCTATTGTGTGGAACAATTTGAGGAATATTGGTATTAGTTCTTCGTTGAAAATCTTGTAGAATTCTGCACTGAAATTGTCTGGCTCTGGGCTTTTTCTGGTTGGGAGACTTTTGGTGAATATACTTGGGAAGGTCTAAAGCAGTAACATGGCCTCTTCTCTCTTGATAGATATTCTAAAGTTCAGAAATACTTCATTTTTGGCACCTTCCCTCTCCCTCTTTGCGCGAAACTCTTCCTCCTCATCATGTGAAAGCGTGGCCAGATGTGCTGCTGGGGTGCTGCGGCTGGACACGTTTGCCTCTGTGTGTCTGTAAGTATGGGCATCTGGGGTACCCAGCTGGGAGTGACGTCACTATCATCTCATTAACCTCTCTCACCAACTGGATTTAGTGTTGCATTTAAATCACTAAGTGATGACTGGCCAATGCTGCCTCTTCCTCCTGAGTGCTGGGATTAAAAGTGTGCGCCACCACGCCAAGTTATGTCTTTTCTTTTCTTTTTTTTTGTTTTTTAAGGTTTATTTATTTATTATCTATACAGTGTTCTTCCTGCATGTCTGCTGCAGGACGGAAGAGGGCACCAGATTTCATTACAGATGATTGTGAGCCATCATGTGGTTAACTGGGAATTGAACTCAGGACCTCTGGAAGAGCAGTCATTGCTCTTAACCTCTAAGCCATCTCTCCAGCCCCCAAGTTATGTCTTTTTAAAAATCTGATGAGGAGGGTTTCTTTTCCCCCACAGATTTTCTGTTACTTCTATTTTTCTTTTGTAAATTTCCACCCTCTTCTCTCTCTCTCTCTCTCTCTCTCTCTCTCTCTATTGCATTTTCTTGTTTTTTAAAGTTCATCATCTTTATATGGGCTATTTATCCTTAGATATACTGCTACAAATGTTTTGCTCAGGGTTTTGTTTTTGTTTTGTCTGTTTATAATAATTTTTTTTACTGCACCTTAGCCAAAATGCTGAGAAGTGATGCTTATGATAATTTTCAAAGTTGACAGTGAGTGAAATTCATTCATCATTTCCTGTTATGATTTCTCCCCATTACTTTTAGTCTTAGAATTTTTAAAAGATATATTTTTTTCTTAATTTTTGTGTATGTGTGTGCCTGTGAGAGATTGTGGACCACATGTGTGCAGGTGCCCATGGAAGTCAGGAGAGGGCACAAGATCACCTGAAGTGGGTTACAGGAGGTTGAGAGCCCCCCTCCCATTGTGTGTGCTGGGAAATCAGAGCCTGGTGTTCTGTGAGAACAGTGAGCACTCTTATCCCCTAAACCACCTCTTTAGCTCCCGTTCTTAAGTTGTTAAGTATTGCCCATCTTAATTTTTATGTGTTTTTCTTGTTCTTCTGGTTTTGTTTGGTTTTGTTTTGTTTTGAGACAGCATGCCTCTATGTATATTAGTTAGCAGTGAACTCGGGACCCTCCTGACCCAGCCTCTAGCATGCTCGGGTTACAGGAGTGCCTCCAAGTCCAGTTGATGATGTTGTTTCTCCTGAGGTTGTCTTCTCTGCATCTTTGGTGTCCTGTGACAGGTGTCGTCTTTTTGCAGGTTCATCACCTTGCTAGGCCTGGTCCTTCCTGTGGCTGGGACTGTTTACATGGTGGCCAGGGGCTGGGGTTTGGACCTCAGAACGTCGCCGGCCCATGGGACTTCTCCTGCAGGTTGTGAGAGTCTGCCTTTGAGAAACATGGAGAACAATGGAAAAAGAAGCAGGAGCCTGCAGACCAATTGTCAAGTCCATCTCTCCCCACCAGGACCCCCGAGCAGAGGAAAACGTAAGCATTTTAAACTAGGACCACCCCAGAGAAATGGCCTAGAGAAGTGTGTGGTTGGAAAATAATTCCGCCAGTTTGCATTCTAGCGAAGGCCCAGCAGCTCCTAAATGTCAGCCGAGGCTGGATCACCGCTGTTTACAATTCAGTCTTTGTTTACCATCAGGGTGCTAAGGCAAGGCGAAGTCACTAACAATGATGCTTTATGTCGGGTACAATTATCCAGTGTGTTTTTGTGCTGACAGAAGCCTGGGTCAGTGGAGAGTTAAGGGGTTCACTGTAGTTATGCCCCTAGGAACCAATTCTATGATCAAGGCTATTTTTAGTACCGTAGATTCATGTGCAATTCTGAAGCCAGCGGTGCAGGTGAACATGCCAGTAAAGCCAATCAAGGTATATGAATCAGAAATAGATAACTCGACCCCAATGGAGTAAATCGATGATTTGATTGGAGCCCACAAGGTTAAGCCTTGGTGAAAAATTAATATTAGTTTCAAGGACCATGGTAGCATATACCTTTAATCCTAAAATTTGAGAGGCAGAGGCAGAAGAATCTTCTGTGGTTTTGAAGCCAGTCAAGGGCTGCCTGTGTGACTCTGAAAGAGAGAGAGAGCGAGAGAGAAAGAGAGAGAGACAGAGAGAGAGACAGAGAGAGAGAGAGAATATTAGTTTCATTTCCTTCTGTGTGTGGCTGGTAGTTCTTGAGTTTTGACCACATCAGAATCCCCTGCAAGGGGTCAGATACTAGGCACTAGTCCTGAAGACTATGTCTTCGCAGGGTTGCTCAGAGTCTGGGGTTGAACATTTCTAACAGACTCCCTGGTGATACTGAAGCCACTGGTCCAGGATCCCCCCCCCCCCACTTTGAGAGTCAATAACCACATAAACTGTTTAGCCCAGCAATGGCCTCTATCCACCCTAGTCTCTATAGTTTATAATTCTTTCTATTCCTAAATGAGCAAAACAGGACTTCAAGAGACTGTCTCTTTTCAGAAGAGTCTATAAAGCACTGATGGTTCCATTCACTCAAAATAGAATTTAGATGGAAAAATAATACTAAAAAACACAATGTGATTGCTTGCCAAGGTTAGCGCTGAGCCAGAGATGTTGCTTTGGAATCTTCATAACACTCCTCAAAATTACATTTATTCTATATGTGAGGCAATGTGGCTCAGGAGGTTGGAGAATTTGGCTGAGAGCTCTGGTCCTGCCTTTCATCACAGGAATCCGGGGGAGGAGCCAGGTGACATCAGATGCTGAGCAATGCTGCTCATGGTGCTGACTGCCAAGAGATGCTTGGGGAACCCAATTTCTGTGAATGAAAGGGTGGGTGCAATGCCTGCAGCAGGGAGACCATCCCAGGGAAACCGAGATTGACTGCCAGAATCCCAAGATGCCAGGAAATTCAACGTAAGACAACTGACTTAGATTGCGAGCATGTGGCCATAAGCTGGCCTTCGTTTGTGAATACATCCTAATTCGATAAGGGCATATTTGCAACCTGAGTGTTTCAGCTTTGCCCAGGAGAACATGAGTCTCTCAGGGATGGCTTGGATTTTGGAGAGTCTTGTGTCCCAATTCCATTCATTCGATTGGCTCTTGGGTTAGATTACATATAGTGTGTGTATCCATATACACACATATACATATACACTGTGTATAACTAGCATCCCAGCACTTGAGTTGGACACAGGAGGCCTGCCATAAGTTCAAGGCCAGCCTGGGCTGTATAATCAGACTCTTGACTCAAACAACAACAATGACAACATCAAAAACAAAGATAACAATCACTACCACCAGAACAACCCAGGATATAAGTTAAGTAGTCAAGAGTAGCCATCCTTGTAACAAATACTGATAAAGATGATCTTGTAAATGCTTATTACTGGGTAGTCTCTATTCAGAGTGACTTATTGGGTGGTCTCTATTCAGAGTGACTTGTAAGCATTTTCTCATTTATTATTCATGATATCCTATGATTACAAGATCTACCTCGACTCTTGGTTTCTAGCTGTGGAAACTGCAGTGCAGAGAAGTTGCTTTGGGTTACAAGGCAAACTTAGAACCAGGAAGATGTAACTTAAAGGGGCAACTTTTTTTTTTTTTTTTTTTTGATTTTTGAGACAGGGTTTCTCCGTAGCTTTTGGTTCCTGTCCTGGAACTAACTCTTCTAGACCAGGCTGGCCTCGAACTCACAGAGATCCGCCTGCCTCTGCCTTCCGAGTGCTGGGATTAAAGGCGTGCGCCACCATTGCCCAGCTAAGAAGCAACCTTAATTGACAAACCGACTCTTCTGTTCTAATGCTTGTACCTGACCGATGCTGGAGACATTAGTACCAAGTGAGAGTCCTTAGGACAGCACCAGGATCGTGTTTCAAGTGAAATTCTGGTTCTCTGGGCCCACTGCTCTCACAGATGTCTCACTTTCTCCTGATCTTGGTAAAGCAGGCCTGGGGGCAGGGATTGGCCTCCCTGGTGCCTGAACTTAGGCAATACAAGGCATCCTGGAACACCACTGTCAGGTCAAGACTGGAAGGGAGAGTCAAGGTCCAAAGGACAGGTATGAGGGCCCAGAGATAGGACCGTGGAAACCTGAGTTGAGCACTCCAGGTTTTGAGCCAAAGTCTGAGGTCTCTGCATAGGTTTTGGTCCACTTTAGGGTGATGTGTGGATGGGTCTGGTTTTCATGAGGGCTGGTAATAACTCTATTCTTGCTCAGGGTTTCTAGGAGTCGTGGATGGAGCTCTACAGTGCTTTTCTTGGCAAAAGAACATTCCGGCCATCTGCACCCCAGAGCTGCCAGGAGGCACCTGCCAGACACTGAATGGGATCCGAGTCCTGAGTCTCCTCTGGATTGTCTCAGGACACACCAGTCAGATGACTGCTTGGCTCTCTTTGGGTATGGGGAGCTGACTGGCTTCTTCTCCAGCATCCATGGGGAAAGAGAGCCCCTTCTATGTTGGCTAGCAGCATCCATGGGTCAGGGAGCCTGACGCTGTCTCAGGAACAGCCAACCTTCCTTCTGTTCTAGAGACACACTGAGACGTGCCAAGGCATGTGACCTCCTATGCCAAGTTTCCCAGGGCTGCAATCACTACCACTTCCCTAGGCAGAAATCAGGGACCCAGTGATGTTTGGTCATTGTGTGCTCCCTCTGCTTACTACGTAAGACAGGAAGTAGCTTCCCCCCATTACTGAAGACTAGGCAAGTACAACCAAACGTGGTAAGTCATTGTTTCTGGACATTGCCACACCCTGATATCCCTCATCCATAATTCAGTGTTCATCACTCAGTAGCAAAGGTCATCTCCTAGCAGGGGACCAAGCAGGTGGATCAGAACTAGAGGCAAGGCCATGAGGGCAGTTACAGGGAGCCTTTGAGGTGATGGGCACCTGTCCTAACTCTGTGAGAGTCCCAGAGGGCTGCGGGCACCGTGGGAGCACAAAGGGAGCACGCGGCCTGAGCCACAGGGGCCTCAGTCACCACCGTCACTCCTGCTGTAAGTCACCGCTGATGTTGTTCTTACAGCTCTCCCAGCGCAAACAGAAGTCGCAAGTGTGCCTCTTGCTTTTTCTCAGTGTGAAGTCCTGTTTTCTTCAGCTGAACTAAAAGACATTGCTTTTCTTCGTATTTGTTACAGATAATGTGCTCGAATGGAAAGCCACAGTGCCTGTAAACCCGCTGTACCTCTACTCTCGGAGTGGCCCCTTCTATCTCGGGGTGGATACGTTTTTCCTGATCAGGTGATGGGGTTGACATGTAGTTGCTGCTGCTATGCTTGTTAAGGGATGTGTGGGTGTGGCGGGGAGGGCTGCCAGCCTCACCTTCCTGAAGAAAGGCAATTGGTACACGTTAACTCACCTGGGACTTGACAGTTCTTTCTGTCTAGAGAGTGCTGTGGTCACAGCTACTCTTTGCAGTATCTTCGGTTTGGTAGCCGAGTTAATATGATGCAGAAAAAATGTTTTTGTTAATTGAATTTGAAAAATATTTTTATTGCATTTTATTTATTTGTGTGCATGTGTGTGTTTTATGTATTATGTTGGTGTATGTGTATTGTGACATGTTTGCTGGTCAGAAGACAGCTTGCAGGACTTAGTTTTCTTATCACCACGTGGGTTCCGGGGTTTGAACTCGGGTCATTGGGCTTGGCAGCAGGCACATCACTCTGCTGAGATGTCTCAGTTGGCCACACAAGTCAATTTTGTTTGTTAAAATCATTCATTTTGGTCGTTCTCAAGCTCTAGAAAGTGGTGTAGATTCATACTAAAAATTTCAGATTCTCACTCCAGCAAAATGTGAAGGAAAACCATAACAAAGCAGTGTGAGGGCTCACAGAGTTACACTCTCTTAAATTATCAACCTCACAGAGTTACACTCTCTTAAATTATCAACCTAAAATTTCCTAATCTTTCCTAACTTTGTAACTTCTTAAAACTATTAAGAGTTTGGTAAATGGTACAAGAAGCCACCACACTGGTCCACACATCTTGGGTTAGGGCTACTCAACCGTCAGTTTGTTCCATGGGTCTCTTGTCTTAACCTCCTGATCACTGATATTTACCCACTGATACACAAAAGGCAGGGTTCCAGTTACCCTTGAGGGGAGCTGTGTTCGAAATCCTTTCCTACCCCTTGGGCTAGCGTCATACTAATCTCTGATGCTTGACTTCCCCTTCTCCAGTCCATTCAGGCCCCGGGGGACTCAGCCTGTTCCCCCTCTTTTCATCGCCTCCTCCTCGCAGGCGAAGCAGTACATTCCCACACATGGAACAAGACCCAAGCTTAGCAAAGGCTGCCTGCCAGTGGGTGCCAGCCACTCTGAGAAGAAAAGATGGCCCAGATTCATCCTTTCCTGAGATTGAGAGGAGGCCAGAATCGGAATTGGCTGCCCTACTTCCAGCTCTCAATGCCTTCATTTAGACGTCTTTTATGCATTTGGTTCCTATTATAAGGAATCCAGCTTGCTGCTTTTCAAAGGAAGCCTGAGAGGCCTTACCCAACCCATCAGGATCCCTTCCAAGTAGGGCCCAATGCAGGCATCCTTGCTGTGCAACAGGAAACACATTTGCTATTCCGAAGAACTCCCATAAGGAGCAGTGGGCTAAACGCCAAAAAAGGTCAAGGAAGTCACAGGCCTGCTTATCACCAAGCTGTAACTCAAAGTCGAACATTTGGGTGGTGAATTCACCATAAGAATGTACCAGTTAAGAATTCTGTGATCTTCCTGCAATCACAGCACTTGAGAGGTGGAAGCAGGAGGATGGAGGAGAGTTCAAGGTCATGTTCAGTTATATCAGGGGTTTGAGGCCATTGGGGGCTATGGGAGACCACGTCTAAGTAACTCCAGAGGCTACTCTCTTCTCTCTCTTAGTGGCTGGTTAAGTGCACGGTCATTTCTAAAGATGCACCAGAACACAAACACGGGAATAACCCTTAAAGTCATACTCAGATACTTCCTCAAACGTTTTACAAGGTAGGTTTATTTATGTAATTCTTTCAGTTCATTGTTGCTATAAAATAGGCACAATGTTCAATCTTGCTTCATTTTTGAAATGAATACTTATCTTTCTTAATTATGGTTGGCTTTGACTAGTTTAAAACCGTTCAGCTTCCATATGGCACAGGTCGTGAAAAACTGGCATCTTTCATCAGCAAACACATTCTCAGCTGGCTGGAAGTAGACGTCCATAGATGTCCCAGCCATTTCTGTGGGATCTGTATTCTGCAGGAGAAGCGGTGTAGCTGCAGTCAGAGTACCTGTGAGATGGTAAAAATAGCACATGACGAGGAGCAGTGTTGTGCGAGGCTTGGGTCACGGCCGTGCTCCTTTATTAAGCAGCGTGTGGTTGGTTGAAGAAGAAGGACTTCTAATATTGGCTTAGACTACAAAGCAGTGATGGCGGTGATGTCATGAGAGGGCTGGGATTAAAGGGAAAGGACACCCCTGCTCTCCAGCCCCTCCCTTTTCACACTTTCTCAGACGTGGCTGTACTGAACGAGAACCCAGCTTCCTGCATTCCTATTCTAAGTCCATCTTGCTATGCTACACTGTAGGGTCAGGGTTGCCTAGAGAAACAGAACCAATAGGATGAATTGGTATCTATCTATCTATCTATCTATCTATCTATCTATCTATCTATCCACCCATCTATCTACCTATCTATCTATGTATCTATCGATCTATCTATCTAATATATATATTAGATATGTATATATCATCACATTCCTAAAGAGTTCACTAAACCAGCTCTCACTGAAATAGTAACTACAGTTATCTCACACCTAAAGAGGCTGAGAACAGGCAGTTGCTCCATCCACAGTGGTGCCCTAATAGTCCCAAACTAGGGCCGAGAGCCTGGAGAGCCATTGTTTTTTAGTCTGTGATGGAAGTCTGGACATGTGGGTTCTGCTCTCAGTGATGGGATCTGTAGCAGCAGCAACAGCGTGAGCTAACGTGGAGGGAGCAAAAGGGAAAGCCAACTGGGCTGAAGGCAAACACCGTTTCTTCTGGCATGTCCTTTGTGTCTGGTCTGCTGCCAGAGGTGCCACCTACATTTGGGGTGTGCCTTCCCACATCAGTTCAGGCAGTCAGGACAACTCTTGATCTGAAGCTCCCTTACTCAAATGATTCTAGTTTGTGGCAAATTGATATTAAAACTAACCATCACCCTGTCGTGAAACAGTTAAAACAATCCTCAGGGATGGGGAAGTGGGAGTGGGCAGGAAGAGAACCTGTAATTCCACTGCTGGCCTATGTCCTGGGTTAACCATGCACCAGCTATGTGACTGTCTTAGCCTTTCTGTCCTTGGGTTTTCTTCTCTATAAAATGAAATTAGGGGCTGGGGATGTAGCTCAGCTGGTACAGTATTTGCCTCAAATGCTTGAAGACATGGGTTCAGCGTCAAACACCACATAAATTCTGTGTGATAGCTTATGAACATAGTCCCAGCACTCTGGAGAAGGAGCCCAGAGGACTGGAGGTTTAAGGTCAGCCTCATCTACATAGAGAGCTTGAGGCCAGCCTGGGCTACTTGAGACTCTATTAAAAAGAAAAGAAAAAAAAAAAAAAGAAAAGAAACCGAGGCGGCAGTGGTGAAACTCGAGTCACTTTGTAGGATTCTTGTGGCATGAGAGAACATACATGAAGAACTTAGAAGGTTCATGATGGGCCGGAAGCCGCAGTGAGTACAAGCATTTGCCACTATCCTTGCTGTTACTCGAGAGTTTTGTGCTTTTTCTCTTTGTAAGTTAAGGATGAGGAGGGGCTAGGAGCAGACCAGCGCTGCCTCTTTTCAGTGTGGTTTTGTGGTTTCTTCTGAGCTTTGTCAATGTAGCCCTCCTCCTGGCGAAGGGGGAAATGCAGGATTTCCGAGTCTCTTTTGGGTATGAGGTTCTGGCTAAGCAATCTGTCCTGCTTGAGGTTTGCTGGGATTATGGGGGCTTGCCACACAGGCCGGTGGTTCAGGACATCTTAGCTTGGGGGGTGGGTGAGGGAACCAGTAGTGCAGTAGGTTAACCTGGAAAGCTTGTTTTGGAACAGAACAACTTGGGAAAAGAGAGAAAGTGTTTTTGTTTGTTTGTTTGTTTGTTTGTTTGTTTGTTTTCCAGGCAGAGGGAGCCAAGGATGGGGGGCCCAAGGGGCACTGGGTGGGAGTGGGTGATGATGATATGGCTTGTGGGCACGATGAAATGGGGAACCCAATCTGGCCACTGGCAGTGGGAGTGGGGCCAAGGGAACGCAAAGGCAACCCGAGCGATGCCCCAGAGCAGAGGCAGTGGTACTGTTGAGACAAAGAACTCTGGGAGAGTGGGGATTAGAGTCAGAGCGAGGACAGGAAGGACTCCAACTCGAGCCAAAGCTTTATTGAGAAATGGAGGTGGGTGGTACCAACCACATTCTGGCCTTGCCCTTTCCAAGATCCGTAGGGACAGGATAGTCATGTCCTTTGCAACTGGGATGTTCTCGTTTATGAGCTCAGAACTCACTGTTCTTATTCATTTAGGATTTATCCCTTCCCGAGGACAGGTGATAAGCTGGGTATGATAGGGCACACTTGAAACCCCAGCACTCAGGAGATGAAAGTTGGGAGGTCAGGAGTTCAAGCCTTGACTACCTAGTGCATTTGAGGCCAGTCCTGGGAGCTTATCCACATGTTTGGAGGTGCTGTGGGACCCTGGGCTCTGCCCTACTTGAGTGAAAACCACCCTAAATTTCTAAATGTTCTATCATCTATGTATGTATGTATGTATGTATGTATGTATCTATCTATCTATCTATCTATCTATCTAAGTATCTATCTATCTATCTATCTATCTATCTACCTACCTACCTACCTATCTATGTGGTTCTGGAATCTCACTTAATGTTTTGTCCATACTAAGCACTGAGCCACAATGTAGCTTAAAATATCTCTTAAAAGAGGGCTCCTGGGGCTGTGGCTGTGGTCAGTGTTACCTAAGTGACCGACTCCCCAGGGACCCAAGTAAAGTGCCTGGTAAGCATGACAACCCATCTGTAATTCTAGCCCAGAATTTGGAGGTAGGGGTTTCTCGGAGCAAGCTGGCTGCTTAGACTAACCATACCAGCTAGCTCTGGGGTTGACTGAGATACCTTGTCTCGATGAACAAGGTGGACGAGTGATAAAGGATAATTCCCCCACAGTCTTGGCCTCTACATGTCCAATCACATCGATCCTGACTTGTATGTGCCCACATGCATGCAAAAACATACATACACACACATGAAAAACTGAAAACCACAAAAGAGGGCTTCTGTGGGCTCATTGTGGTGCATGCCTGAAATCACAGCACAAGGAAGGCAGAGGCAGGAGGATCAAGAGTTTGAGACCATCCTGGAATACATAAAATAGAGTTTATCTGCAAAATCCAGCCAACCAAACAACAAGGGCTCTGACTTTAGCCCCACCCCCATGCCACAAGTGTGCACCCTTCCAACTATGCCTTCTCTTCCAACTTCCATATATGTGGCCTAATTTGCAGTCACTAGACACAGTTGTCAACTGAGAAACACTATGTACTAAAGTTCCTGATGGTTCCTAAAGATGCAGTCAAAAAAAAAAAAGCTAGCTTGTTAAGAAATTGCATGTTGCTTAATGTCCTTGAAATGATCATATTTTGAATCTATCAGGCTAAAGAAGCAATATTAAAATTCATTGTAGTTAATTTTTCTTTTATTTTAAAAGGGTAGCATCTGGGAAATGTCCCATGAGTGTCAGATTAGCTTATCCTGTTTCTTTTGCACCCCACTGATCTGGACCGTGTAAGTGAGAGTTTGTAATTGACTCTCATAAGCTCACAAGGAGTGGTACTATCAGGAGGCGTGACTTTGTTGGAGTGGCTATGGCCTTGTTAGAGGAAGTATGTCACTGTGGGGGCAGGCTTTGAGATTTCCTATGCTCAGGATACTGTCCAATGTCTCAGTCAACTTCCTGTGGCCTGCATTTCAAGACGTAGCCAACACCACATCTGCCTGCGTGCCACTATGCTCCCTGCAATGATGATGATGATCGCCCGAATCTCTGAAACTGTAAGCCAGCCCAATTAAATGCTTTCCTTTTAAAGAGTTGCTGTGGTCATAGTGTCTCTTCACAGCAATAGAAACCTAACTAAGACTTTGTACATATGTATTTTTTCTTTTTCTTATTTCTTTATTTGGGACAGGGTCTCATGTAGTCCAGACTGGCCTCTCTCTTACAGTATAGTTGAGGAGAATCTTGAACTTCTGATCCTGCTACCACCTCCTGAGTTGTGGGACTACAAGTCATGTACTAACATAACATATCCAGTTTTTATTACCCCAGGGATCAGAGCCCCTTCCCCCCCCCCCAAGGCTTTGTGCTAGAAAAGGACCCGACCAACTGAGCCACATAGCCTGTCCTGGACCCTGTTATTATTCATTAGTTTGTAGTTCTGTAAAATCCAGGTTAGAAGAATGAAAAGTTGACAGCAAAGAAGGAAGAAAGGAAGAGGCGGGAAGGAGGGAAGAGGGAAGTTTCTGTCCCATGAGGCGCATGGGAAGAAGATAAGCTGGTACCCATCGTAAGGATGAGTGACTGTGGACCAGTCACCCTGACCTCTCTATGCCGCAATGTGAGATAGGGTAAAAGCTACTTGACAGGATTATCTCAAGTTTTAGGAATTCCTGGAAAGCTTCCGTTTCAGCGGTGACAGAAATGGCCTTCGCAGCCAGCAGCGGCCCTCTTGTCTTTGTACCAGCGCATGGTGGGCAGCTCCACACTTGTGGGCCCTTGAGGCTGCTCACCGGTGTCAGGGGTTTCTTAAAGTATCCCTCCGGCCCTCTTGGTGCCCATGAAGGTGAGGGCAGGGCACCTCTCGGTGTCATCTTCTCTCCCATGTCTCTCCGCCAGATTGCAGCGTCTTCATCTGTACTCAGTGTGCTTGCTGGTTGGACTCTTCTCTTTCGTCCCCTGGGGACCTGTCTGGGAAGTTCCACAGTTCCACTGGGAGAACTGTCGGCAAGTCTGGTGGACGAATCTGCTGCTGCTGAATAACTTCGTGTCCGTTCAGAATGCCGTGAGTTACCAAGAGCCCATTTGCAAGGGCGTATGGGTAGACACAGGGCGTCTCAGTCACATGGTTTGGCCAGTTTCCCAAGGGCCAACCTAAGCCCTATCTCCATAAGTTTGGGGGGCACAGCACCAACTGATGCAGGGGTCCTTGTTATAAAGCAAGAAAGGGCTGCAGTGGTGCTAATGAGGGCGGACTCTCTGGGTCTCAGGGCAGCTCCCCTCTCCACCAATGTTCTTGAATCGGTCCAGGTCGCCAGGCCAGAAAGGACAGTTTCTTTGCCTTCACACAGAGAACCTATGCTTGGGTAAAGCATCACAGCCATGCCCCAACCCTCCTTGATCTTGGTGAATTCTAAATTTCAAGCCAGTCTGGACAGAGGTGGTTCAGAGCTAAAGAGCTATGCCTTAATAACCCAAATCTTCATCATTGTTCCAGTGTGTTTCCTAGTCCTGTGATATAACACCATAACCAAAAACAACCTGGGAAGGAACGGGTTTAGACTTAGACTTCCTGGGTCACAGTCCATCACTGAGAGTCAGGGCAGGATCTCAAAGCAGGAGCCAGAGCAGAGACAATGGAGGCCGGCTTGCTCACCATTACCTACTCAGTCTGCTTTCTTATAGAACCCAGTACCACCTGGCTTAGGATGGCACTACCCATGGTGGGCTGGGCCCTCCCATATCAGTCATCAATCAAGAAAATATTTTCCAGGCTAGAGAGATGGCTCAGAGGTTGAGAGCACAGACTGCTCTTCCAGAGGTCCTGAGTTTGGTTCCCAATAATTACATGGTGGCTCACAACCATCTAGAATGAGATCTGGTGCCCTCTTCTGGCATGCAGGCACACATATAGGCAGAACACTGTATACATAATTTGAGAGAGAGAGAGAGAGAGAGAGAGAGAGAGAGAGAGAGAGAGAGCGCATTGGCTGCTCTTCCAGAGGTACTGATTCAATTTCCAGAAACCACATAGTAGCTCACCGCCATCTATAATGGCATTTGGATACCATCTTTTAGCATGCAGGTGCGCAATATACATAAAATAAATCTTAAAAAAGAGAAAATGTTCCACAGACTTGCCTATAGGTCAATATAATGTGGGCATTTTCTCAGTTTAAGTTCCTTCTTTCCTAAGATGCTGGCTTGTATCAAGTTGACAAAACAACATCAATACAATCTAACAGGACAGTAATGGACTTGGCGTGAAGGAAATTGAGGTAGCTATGACTCAGCCATGTCCTTAAGTCCTCCCATGATAGACTGGCTGGCAAGTCCCTAGTTCTCTCCCATAAAAACTCATTCATGAGATGGTCAAGTCCAGCAGCTTGGCCAGGGTGTCATCCGTGCTGACCTCTGGCAGATGACAGCATGTCTGTGATAGGGTCCCAGGAGAGAGGTGGAGCCATCTTCCTGGATGCAGACTGGCTTGGGCTACTATAGAAATCAGGGGCAAGAACAGTAGTTGCCTCTTTGAGTGGAAACTACCGTAGATTTTTGGAAGCACAGGTGCCAAGCACCTCAAGCCCGACCATTCGTACTTCCTCCATGACAAAGGGTGTCTTTTTTACCTGTAGACAAAGCTTCCCTCTATGTTGAGGAAGTTTGGGCTCCTTTGGGCCCTGGGACGCAAAGTGACAGGAAAATTTGCCCCCGGGAATTTCCATACACGAGATAAAACATGACAATGACTGACTTAATTGACCACAAGCGTGGAGAGTGGGGGGAAGGTCCCTGTGGCTTTGGCCAGACATCCACGTTGGTTCTAGTGGGAACTGTTGAGTGTAAGCCAAAAATTTGCTTTTAAAAGAACACAATTTCTCCACCTAGAGCTGGGAGTGGGAACCAGGCAAGAGAAAGAACCTTGCTGGCTTTTTTGGAATTTCAGTCACACCATAAGGACAGCCACCTCCTGCATTCCTGAATCATGACCCTAGTCAGTTCCCATGGCTGTCCTAGGAGACAAGCTATATTGGTCTTTAGAAACAAGAGAGAAATGTGTCTGAATCTCGAAACCGTGATGAGGCTTCGTCCAAAGACCCCATGTGAGGAACAATGGAGGCTACCTAATTCCTCTTCCCATAGCAACTGCCCCGCCCACCTTCTCAACAGGCCAAACAACAGCAGACACTCAACGTCCTTGCTACCTGGAAGGGAGGAGTCACGTTCACCTCTCCTTTTTCTCCCCTCCAGTGCAATGGCTGGACTTGGTACCTGGCCAACGACTTCCAGTTCCACCTCATCACTCCGCTGCTCTTCTTTGTCCATGGAAAGTGGGTCTGAGATGTCCCGTCTGCGCCCCCCTCCCTCGCATGGGTCCTTGGGCTTGGAACTCTCAGAGACGGCGCCCCTCATCCCCCGCATGGGTCCTTGGGCTTGGAACTCTCAGAGATGGCGCCCCCCCTCCCCTGCAAGGGTCCTTGGGCCTGGAACTCTCAGAGAGGTTCCAGTTTTGTAGAATGCAGCCTTTTCAAGTTTAGGAAATTAACTTTTCCAGAAATGGAGGCACTGTCCCCTCTCCTGCCTCCTTCCGCGTCCTCTTTCAGCCACGCATAAATCAGTGCGTTTTCCCCAGATTTATCACCAGTGTGTGTGAAACCCGGTGCTCAGCGTTTTCCATCCCAGCTGTTCACATAAACATACCCACATATTGACACAGCCCGCATACCTGTCAGTCTCGGGATTTATATTCCGTTTTTATGGTCGGGTATCTAGACGGTGCCCGATTTTTCACGATTATAAATGACAGCCCTGGAACACTCGACTTTTGCTTGTTTCCATGGGGACGTATTTCTACGCGGAGTTACCGGGTTAAAGGGTGGCAGCGATTCCTAAGTGTTTGTTAGTACTGGGAAATTACTCCCTGGGAAGAAGGAAGTAATTTACAGTGCCCTGAGCAATGTATCAATGTACCTGCTGCCCCTCAGCCGTATCTATCACCTTAATCGTGTTAGTTTTAGAAACACTTTACAGTCTCAGTAACTCATAGGGAGATTTACAGCGTGCCATTTAAAAAGCAAATTTATGATTCTTTCTTGTTAAAATATGTGCTCAATTTAGGAAACATTAGGATTAAGAGAAAGTAAACACTCACTCTGGTCCATCACTCCTGGCAAACTAGGTTCCCTCTTCAGTCTCTGGTGCTGTCTTTCTGATTTTTGTCCTGCCCAGTTTTTAAAAGACAAAAGTACGCTGCTCCAATAGCTTAAAACAGTTTTACTATATTATTTTACTGATTGTAAATATTACTGTAATGTCTGCCTAACAACATTCCGTTTCCTGCATGAACTATAATTTATTTGTACCTTCTCCCATTGTTTTATACTTGGATTGTTTCCAGTTTTATGCTTTCATAAATAACTTCCCATGAATATTTTCATAACAACCATTTGTCTCCAACTCCAGTGTTCCTTCAGAATGCTTATCTTAAGGAGAATCAATGAGTCAAAGAGCATGAGTGTCTAGCAGCTCTTGAGTCACAACGGGAAACTACTTTTAAAAAATGGAGATACGTGTGGTCCACATGGTCCGCATTTCTGTGCCACGGCAGATCCTGGCAGTGCCCATCTGCCTGTTCTGTTCCGAGGAACCAGACAGAACCTCACGTAGAGCCAGAGGCTTTTCCCTTGCTGCAGAACCCTGCAGTATGTCAGCTGGGGCTCCTTCATGTACAGAGCCAGAGTGTGCAGGAATTAATGTGGGTAGCCACCTGTGGAGCAGAAGACATTGGCCATAGGCTATTTTCCCTTATCCCCTCAGACAGTTCTGAGGCATATTCATAAGTTATAGAATATTCTGGAAGAACTGAGTGTTGACCTCCTCAACAGCTTACCTTGTATTGGCTCTCCCTGCCTTCCTGCTTCTCCCCACCACTCCCACATCCAGACATTTGTCTCAGGCTTAGGCTGGCATGGAAAGCTGGATTCTCATCCCTGCTCTCTCCTCCCTCCCCTTCCCGGGAGTGGGCGGCTGTGTCATGTCTGTGTCCCATCCTGCCTTGAACAGCTCACTTCTCTCTTAAGTCAACCACCACGAATGTCCCTATAGTGTTCTGTAGATGATAAGCAATGTTCCCAAGAACGGTCTCCTTTGGAGCCACAGTATAAGCTTCTGGGCAGGGTAGGCAAGGGTGCCATTACTATCCTTGTCTAGAAGAGAAACCCAAGTGCAAGGTCTGTCCACGGTCTCACTGCTGGTTAGTGGTCAAGATCAGGCAGTCCAGCCGTCCAGCTTTCCCTGCTCCGTTGAAGCCCCGCCCACGCCCCCCCCCCCCCCCCCCCCCATCTCCTTTGAAAGCATGGCCCCAGGTCTCCTGGGATGACAGCACCTCATTCACGCTAGGGTGAAGGCCACTGAAAGACATTTTCCTCTGCCCTCGTCTACAGAAATAAACGTGTCCTCATCCTCCTCGGGGCCCTGCTGTTCCTGACATCTTTCTCGGCCACTGCTCTGCTCACGTTGGCTTATAAACTTCCAGTGGCATCTCCGTCAGCAGCCAGGTAACACGGTTCCAGCCTGGCCAGTCCTCTCTGTCCCTTGCCTGACCTCACCAGGGCCACGCTATCCCAGGGAGGTCTGCAGAATCATCAGGCTGCCCATCAACTTAGGGAAAAATGGGCTCTACACCTTTGATCTGGATGGAAGTTCCAAATTTCCCAACCTTTCAACTCAGGCAGCGTGGGTCTTCTAAAAATGTATTTGACTCAAGGAAATGCTTCTTAGAGGACAGGAGCACCCTCATGTGGCTGAAATGGGGTACTCCCTTAGTGTAGCAGATGTCTTGCTGGATGGAGAAACTGAACCCATAATGAAATTGGAGTTACCTCTTCATAACTTAGCCATACAGCAGCTAAGGGGTGGCATAGGTGTTATTTGAACCTAGGATCTAACTCCAAAAGCTCCTTTGCCTCCACAATAAACTACTTATGATCCTGCCGTGTAACTCCGTGTATTAAACACGAGCAGGAACTCTTCTCAATCCAGCAGTCGGAGCTGCACAAGTGAAAATCAAGTGGCCCAGGCAGCAGCTCAGATTCTTCCCAAAGCCACCTGACTGCAACCTTTACTTGCTGGCTTCAGACCAGCCACCCTGGTCTCTCCCAAGTCTGTGCCTCTGCTGTTCTCCCAGGCTAGAACGATCTTCCATTAGCATCTGAGATCTATCAGTGTTGCCCCCAACACTTCTTTCAGATGTCCATGCAAATGTCACATTTTCCAAAGCAGCCCTTCCTGACTTCGCAATGAAACCAGCCTAGAGGGGCTGGGAGAATAGCTCAGTCAGTGCTTACAGGAAAGCAACAGGGACCTGAGTGCACGCTGAACCCCCTTCTCTCTTACACACACACACACACACACACACACACACACACACACACACACACACCACACACGTGTCACAGTGTATGCTTATAATCCCAATGCTGTGGGGGTGGAGGCAGGTAGATCTGGGGATTGCTGGCCAGCCAGCCTAAACTACTTTGTGATTTCTGGGGCCAATAAGAGACTATCTCTTAACCAACCAACCACCACCACCACCACCACCAACAAAAAGCCCCAACCACCAGCACCAAAGAACACCGCATGGCTCAGAGAGAGAGAGAGAAGGTGCTATAAGCCTGGGACCCACATGGTGGAAGGAGAGAACTGATCCCCGTTTGGTGTCGACTGACCCCCCTGTGGCACACATACATGAGCACACACCAACAAACAAACTTAAACTAAAAGGTGGACCTGCTGCTGGTTTCAGGGACATAGTTTGGGAATCACAACATTGAATAGTGTGGTTTTCTTCTTTCTTTCTCTTCCTTCCTGTTTTTTTTTTCTTTTTTTCTTTTTTGAGACTAGGTCTCTCTATGCAGCACTTGCTGTCTTGGAACTGGCTATGTAGACCAGGCTATGTAGACCAGAACTCACAAAGATCTGCCTGCCTCTCCTTCCCAAGTGTCCACCACCACGCCCCAGCTCTCAAATGTCTCCGGCTCTTTTGGAACGCCCCTTCTCTCACAGATCCTCTGGGTGCTATGTTCATTCCTAGAGACAGTGGATCAGCCACCACAAAGGAGCATTTAGAACAAATTAAGTCATCAGATGTCTTTGAGAACTGGGCTCGGAGCCCAAGGGAATTTAGAATGTAAACAAAGCAGCTGTGACCCAAGGCCCTAGAGTTTAGGGCCTAGACGGTCGCTGTGTGTAGCTCATTATAGGGAGATCTGGCTCTAGCTGTGTGGATCACCCCAGAGGACATCCCCTTTTCCTTGTCCAGCTCCAAACTGAGCCTCTGCCTTGCTCCCTCGTTTGTTTCCAGTGAGAAGGCGGCTGCGCTGTATTTCTCAGAGTATTACACCAAGCCCTACTGCCGGTGCGGCCCGTTCCTCGTGGGCCTCTTCCTGGGCATGTTCATGCATTCAGACCACGCGACAAGCGTTCTCAAAACCATGGTACGTTGTTCCCTTGCCTCCCTGTCAGGGCATCAGCCTGGCTGGGATTGATGCGGCCTCTCTGACCTGGTGCACTTGGCTTGGCTACCAAGCCAAGTGCAGGTAGAGCCAGGCTGCTGGATTCGTTCCTGGGCTGCAATGTGTTGTGCAGCCATACCAAAGCATAAGGAGTCAGCCAGAGTCCGATCCTCCTTCCTGAACTAAAGGACCGAGAATCCAATTGCACTTTTGGGCCACACCTGTTGGCCCCCAAGGGTTCTGCTTGACCTTCATTGGCCTTGGATTTGTATAGACAGTTCAGAGAAGAGATCCTGGTCCTGGGGAAATCTTATATAACTCACAGTAACACCAGGAAATAGGATTTTCTAGATGTATTGACTCACATATTTAACCCCAGCACTCGGGAGGCAGAGGCAGGCAGATCTCTGTGAGTTCGAGACCAGCCTGGTCTACAGAGTGAGTGTCAGAACAGGCTCCAAAGCTACACAGAGAAACCCTCTTTTGAGAAACCAGCCCTCTTCCAACCCTGCAAATCCCCCCAAACCAAAAACCAAATAAGACAAATAAACAAACAAAACCCCCAAACCAAACCAAAAATATCCTAAAAAACAAAAAGCAAAAAAAATCACCCCAACAAGAAGCAAGCAAACAAAAAGATCCATCAGGACAAGTGGCTGTATTGAAGAGTGTATCTCTGCCATGTTAGCATTTTGGTGTTCTGGACATGCACTGTCTGACTGTAGAATATAACACAGAGCCATCTGAGAGACTCTCGAACACAGCCAGCGACTTGAGGCTCCAGGGAGAACAGGGTATTAGCAAAGGGGAGAAGGTAAGGCAAAGAGTAAGCGTCGTGGAACCAAGTTAAGGGCAGTCTCAGGTTGGGAGCTGGCCTTGAACTCACAGTTCTTTTGCTTTGGTCTCCTGAGCAACAGGATTATAGGGACGTGCCACCCTATGCAGCTTATCTCATCCTGTATATTCACACACCCTTCCCCAGCACTGTTCCTAACTGCTGCCTCCTGCTAAGCTGATCTTTAATTTTAGTGAAATCTGGAGTCATTGAGGTTTGCACACAGAGATCAGAAGCGACAGAAATGGCACCAAAGAAGTGAGCGTATGCGAAAGGACGCAGTGATTCATGAGCTGTGGCCTGCCTCTCGTTCCCCTCAGGTGCAGGCCATGCTGGGCTGGGCTTTCTCTCTGCTGACCCTGTTTGTGGTTGTTGCCCTCGCATACATAGTGGATGATGCTTCACCAGCCTCCTCCGTGGCTGCTGCTATCTACCAGGCCCTGCATCGGACCCTATGGGCAGCGGCTGTGGGCTGGGTCATCTTTGCCTGTCAGGAAGGCTATGGAGGTAGGAGGGGACCACTGGCTCTGCTCTTGGGCTCACACCCTGTCCCAGAGGGTGACAAAGTTGAAAGATGAGCTGTGCATGCAGAGGTAGGGAGGAATAGTTGATCCCAACTCAGGAAGAGCGCCTTGTCTCCATCCTTGGGGTAAATAACCCTCATATAGTATTTTCAGTTTTTGTGTTGATTCTCTCCTATGGAGTTAAGAGGCTAGACAAGAACTCTGAAAGATAGTGAGACAATGATGTGGTGTGGGAACAGATGTGGTGTGAACAGGCTCTGGTCACACCCATCTTAGGCCTCAGTTTCCATCTGAGAGGAGGAGGCTAAGAGGCACTAAGACCCCTTCCTTCCATAAGCGGAGAGAATATTTTTGTGCTGTTGGCTTTTGATGTCAGGGGTCAAGCAGATGAAGGACATATATAGAAAGAAAGGAATTTTCTCCTCGAGAGAGAGAGAGAGAGAGAGAGAGAGAGAGAGAGAGAGAGAGAGAGAGAGAGAGAGAGAGAGAGAGAGAGAGAGAGAGAGAGAGAGAGAGAGAGAGAGAGAGAGAGAGAGAGATATGTTCAAGATTCCTGGCATTTCCCTCCCTTTCTCTGTTTGGCTCGAGGTAGGGATGAGGTAAAGAGGTACCTCCAAACATCACTCAGGCACCATCCAGAAAAATCTCCGTTCCCAAACTTCTTTGAATCCTTAAAGATGGAACAGAGCCGGGGGGTGGGGTGGGGTGGGGTGGGCAGGACAGCTGTGTACTCTTAGGGACGTCACTGGAATGAGTTTAGAATTAGGCTGTAGATGAAAACTCCTCAGCCTCAGCCAACGTGGTAGGAACGCGTGGCTTAAAGAGAAAACAGGTGGTTTCAACTTGCTGATTGAACACACGTCTTCCTCATGGAAACAGTTACAAAGGGACCCTGGGGTCTTACCAGTGGTTCTGGGATAGCCCTGTTTCCAGGGCTAGTCACTTAATTGCATAAATGTGTCTGTATGTTTGTTTTGTGACTGACAACGTTCTATATATTTGAGATCCAGCAAAAGATGAGAAAGAATTTTTCCCTTGCAAGGTAATGCAATAGAACAGTGGCAGAGAGGAGGCTAGGAGATACCAAGAGACAGATAGGGCCTGCAGGGACTGGAGAGATGACTCAGCAGTTAAGAGTGTTTGTGGCTGAAGTTCCTAGGTTTGGTCCTATCACCCGTGTTGGGCAGCTCATAACCACCTCTAGCTCGAGTCTGAGGGTATCCAATACCATCTCCTGGCCTCAAAGAGACAAATGCACACATGTACGCACGCGCACACACACACACATAAACACACACCCCACAGGCTTGTGGCTGTCCCTCTTCCCACCAGGTCTGGTGACGCGTGTGCTTTCTTGTGGCATCTGGAGTCTCCCAGCTAGGATCAGTTATGCCTGCTACCTCGTCCATCCCATCGTGATCATTCTCTATAATGGACTGCAGGAGACCCTCATCCACTATTCTGACACCAATATGGTGAGCAAGTACCTGGTCCTTGGCCCTGTCCTAGCTCCACCTCTCTCGCTCTTCTCGAGCGGCAGAGCACACAGCTGGCTTTGTTAGGAGCTGGCTTTGTGCTGCTCTTTCCTAGAGTTGCTCTGCTCTCTGATTCAGCTGCAGAAGGGAGGGGGAGGACTTCAGTCCAGGGAAAACTGTTTGAATGTTTGGGACCGTTTATTACCTGTTCTGTTTCACAGCATTGGGGCAGTATACTCTCAGATCCAAACATTGGGGGGGGGCAATGGAATAAGCTGTCCACTGTACCCTGTTTGTCCACAGTTCTATCTTTTCTCTGGACACTGTGTGCTGACCTTCCTCTCTGGGCTGGCCTTGACACTGTTCATCGAGCGGCCATGGCAGGAGCTGAAGTGGGGCCTGTGGGGACCAGAGCCTGCTGGTCCATGAGTGTTTCAGCTGAAACCCAAGAGAACCACACAGCCCACCTGTCTGTGGCCCTTGGAAGGAATGTGAATCTGACTTTGTGAACATTTATTGTGTACAATATGTACAGATAACCTGTGGTCACCATAAAAAGCAATTCTATAATGATTTTTAAAATAATTGTACAACAATCTCTCTCTCTCTCTCTCTCTTGGCTTAGATTTGATTTTTTGTATCAGTAACCACACTGTTAAAGTATTAAAATGAAGGCCAGGTGATGTGGGATGTCCTTCTGTATATGTGTTGCTTTTATTTGTTGATGAATAAAGCTGTTTTGGCCGATAACTTAGCAGAGTAAAGCCAGGCAGGAAATCCAAACAGTTATATATAGAGAGTAGGTGGACTAAAATCATCAAATCCCCCGACTAGGCATAGGATGGCTGCTGGGCGATGGTGGCGCACGCCTTAAATCCAAGCACCCAGGAGGCAGAGGCAGAGGCAGAGGCAGAGGCAGAGGCAGAGGCAGAGGCAGAGGCAGAGGCAGAGGCAGAGGCAGAGGCAGAGGCAGAGGCAGAGGCAGAGGCAGAGGCAGAGGCAGAGGCAGAGGCAGAGGCAGAGGCAGAGGCAGAGGCAGAGGCAGGCTGATCTCTGTGAGTTTGAGGCCAGCCTGGGCTACAGAGCTAGTTCCAGGACAGGCTCCAAAGTTACAGAGAAACCCTGTCTTGAACCCCTCTTCCCCCCTCAAAAAGACGTATGATGGCTATCGCTGGCCTTTTCCAAGCAGCATAGGAACAAAGCTTGAGCTCTTCTATTGGTGGAATCTGGCCTGCACCGGGGAAGAGTCCGGCTTCATCTGGGCGTTTCATTCTCTCAAATTTCATTCATTCATTCATTCATTCATTCATTCCCAAATTGGCTTTTGGGCAACCCTGACCTTCAGCAAGTTCCTTGAGTGCCCCCTGGTGGCTTCGCAGGCATCTGAGCCCTCAAGCTTTTTCTTTTTTAAAATTGTATTTAGTTTCCCTTTTTCTGGGCAGGGAATAGTGGGGTTGGGGATTCGCTCTGCCAACTCCTCTCATGTCCCTTCCACTCCCTATCACTTTATGACCTCATCTTTGTTGTTACTACTAACATACCACACCACACTAACACACACACACTCAGTCACACATACAACCTTTCAAGACTATCTAGTGCCGCTTGTATGTGTATGTCTTTAGGGCTGACCCCTTAGGGTTGGATAGTCTGTCAGGGGCCTGTCCCCAGGAAGGTTGATTTCTTTCTCAGCCATCCTTAATTGCCTGTAGCTTTCATCTAGGGATGGGGCTTTGCGAGATTTTCCCATTCACGATGGAAGGTCCGACGGGTGGTCACAGGGGAGGATTGTTTAGGTGACCATATGTCGAGATTTAACGGGCACAACTTTTCTCTCATATATAGAAGGTGCTATCTTGCTGCAGCTGTTCCGTGAGCCTTTTAACTTAATAAGGCTGCAGAGGAGCGCTTGAGGACTGGTGGGGAGAGAGCTTGGGGGGCTGGGGGTATGCCCAGATGGAGTGACAACCAAGGTGGCTGGGTGCCCTTGGGAAATGACTGATCCGCCAACTTGTCCTGCCATTCAATAGTAAATTCTTTCAGTTGTGTGAGGCTCTAGACACAGAACCCGTGAGAACAGATTTCTAGTGACTAACACAGCCTCGCAAGACCTTTATAAAAATAAAAATACCCTCCTTGGTTATTATATTTCCACAAATATAAGGGAGGAATAAAGAAACCTAACTTCAGATTTTGTTTCTATTTGAAAATACAAAATCTATAGAATGTTTGAAATTATTTGAATCCTGAAACAACTATGTTAAAGAATATGATATTTATGAGACAAAGATTTGGTGATCAGTAGGTATTTGATGATATTGAGGGCTTAGCATTTTCTGTAGTAATGGCACTGTGGTTATATTTATTTTAAAAGCCTTTCTTTTTAGATACATATTGAGATACTAATGGATAAAATTATATAATAAAATCTGATTTCTGCCTCCAAATACTACTGGAAAAGACTGGAATAGAGGACAGGCCACTGTTGGGGACTGTAGGCCCTCAGATTCTGAATTTTCTGTGACCCTTGCCTGCTGGAGTAAACAGCTTGTTTTCCTGTGCCTGCAGCTGCTCCGGGCACGAGACCCTCATGAGTTCCTGATGACAGGGGAGTGGTTTCTGGTGGGCTTGCAGCTGAAAAATCTTGAGAGTTAGGGCATGGCCATTAGTCAAGAAGAGCTCTATATAAGCTGCCCTGGAACACAATAAAGGGGGCATATTTGTTTCAAGAATGACCCCCCTCCCTGCGTGCGCGTTGCTTGTGTGGGTGTTTCAGTCTCCAGCCCCTTGCCCAACTCGCAAACCGTCCCATGGTGTACAGGCGGGACGCCACAGCCCACCAGCAAGATGAGTTGTGTATCTGGTTTTTGAAGCTGGTCAGTGAGTTTATGGGGGCTTCATTATACATTTTCTCCAATTTTAGACATGTTTGAAATTCACGTAGTAATGAAAAAACAGATTTATAGGAATAGCACTTCAAGGTGGAGAGTCGGTGTGTGGATGCTCCCGTCAATTCTTCTAAGTGGGTTTCATCACCACCTACGCACCACCTGCGGAGAAAAACAGGCGGAAGGTGGGCAATGCTTCTCAACCCCGATGGTGTCCCACAGCGTCTCCACAGCCACCTGTGAGCTGGGCTCAGTTGCTGCTCAGACTCCAGGGTCCATTTGAGTGTAAATGATGTCAACCAGGTGCCACCCGCTGAAAAGTGTTCCCTTTCCTACAGCTCACTCTTGTTCAGCTAGGCACTAAAGCCGTCTATTAACGTCCTCTTGTGTGTTCTCGTCTGCTTTCTGTCGCTGTAACAAACGCCATGACCAAAAGCAATTTGAGGAACAAATGGTCACGTGCAGAAGGGCGGGAGCTTAAGACTTGAGTGGAAGCAGGAACCATGGAAGAAAGCTGCCCAGGGATGGTGGCCCCACACACAATGGACCGGGCGTTCCCACGTTAATTAGGAATCAAGAAAAGGCCCCACAGACGTGTCCGCAGCCAACCTGATCCAGACAGCTCTTTAATCGAGTTTTTTTTTTCTTCCCTAAGTGTATCGGATAGACGATAAAACTAACAAACAGAATGCATTTAGCAAAGTCACACTTTCTGCTTATTCTGATGCAGACTCATTGCCTTTGGAAGCAGCGAGGCTACAGGCATGGTGACAGAAGCTGCTCAAGTGACCCCTGCTTTCCCTCTATCTTAGTTACTTTTTTTTTTTAGATTTATTTATCTATTATGTATACCGTATTCTTAGTATTCTGCATGCATGCCTGCAGGCCAGAAGAGGGCACCAGATCTCATTACAGATGGTAGTGAGCCACCATGTGGTTGCTGGGAATTGAACTTAGGACCTTTGGAAGAGCAAGCAGCGCTCTTAACCACTGAGACATCCCTCCATCCCCTTAGTTACTTTTCTATTGCTGTGATAAGACACCAAGACCAAGGCAACGTACAAAAGAGGTTGTTTAATTGGGCTGGTGGCTTCAGAGAGTTTGAGTCCCTGATGGTGGAACGAAGGAGCAAAAGATCCATGGGACCCCTGAGGCCAACAACTTGGTAGATGTAACCCATTCCCAGTACTGGGAACGTCATTTGGTGATGTCCAGTTGGGGCTCTGTGCCCCCCATTATTTGGATAGTTCATTTAGGTTGTATTCATATATATATATATGAATACATGATATATATTCATATATATATATGAATACAACCTATATATATATATTTTAGGAAGCTTCTACTGTATTAGGTTTCCATACTACCTCTCCAATGGGCCTTAATTTTAGATGTCTCTTCTGTGTTCTCTCCCTGGACCTCCTCCTCTCTCTTCCTCCATACTTGATCCTCCCAGGGGGTCCCAGCCTGCCCATAACTATCTATCCAATTTTCTTTTCCTATGGAGATAAAGCTTTATCTCCTAGTCCCTTCTTCTTTCCCTTAACCTCTGTGATTATATTGATCGTAGCTTGGTTATCATTGACTTAACAGCTAATATCCACATATAAGCGAATACATACCATATTTGTGTTTTTGGGTCTGGGTTACCTCACTCAGGATGATTTTTTTTCTAGTTCCATTTTTTTTATCAGTAGATTTCATTTTTTTAACAGCTGAGTAATATTCCATCATGTAAATGTACCACATTTCCTTTATCCAGTCATCTGTGCAGCAATTAACATGGTTGAACAAGTGTACTTTGGCTCTTATGACTAAGCGTCGTTTAGCTGGCTCCTGAAGGAGATCACTTCCCATCTTCCTGAGGAACCACCACACTGGTTTCCAGAGTAGCTGCACAAGTTTGCCGTCCCACCAGGAATGGGACCCGTAATGAGTGTTCCTCCTAGTCCACATCCTCTCCAGTAAGGGTTGCAAATGTTCTGACAGGTGTAAGATTTGCTTTTTTCTGATGAATAAGGACATTTCTTTTGTTTTTGTTTTTGTTTTTGTTTTTCGAGACAGGGTTTCGCTGTGGTTTTGGAGCCTGTCCTGGAACTAGCTCTGTAGACCAGGCTGGTCTCGAACTCACAGAGATCCGCCTGCCTCTGCCTCCCGAGTGCTGGTATTAAAGACGTACGCCACCACCGCCCGGCAAGGACATTTCTTTAAGTGTTTCTTGGCCATTTGTCTTTCCTCTTTTGGAAATCCTCAGTTTAGATTTGGATTCCATTTTTAATTGCGTTATTTGTTTTCTTGATATCTAGTTTTTTTCTTATCTATTTTGGATATTATCCCTCTATTAGATGTGTAGTTGGTAACATCTTTTCCCATTCTGTAGGCTGCCGCTCTGTCTGAATGATGATGTCCTTTGCCATGCGGAAGCTTTTCAGTTTCATGAGGTCTCATTTATTAATTGTTGATCTTAGTGCCCGTGCTAACAGTGTTCTGTTCAGGAAATTGTCTCCTGCGCCAATAAATTAAAGGCTATTCCCCATTTTCTCTTCTGTCACATTCAGTGTGTCTGGTTTTATGTCGAGGTTTTTGATCCATTTGAAGCTGAGTTTTGTAG